ATCCAAACTCTAACAGATTAGTGAATTTAACGAGTGCATATGGGATGAAATATCATAAAAGAACTACATATCAAATTTTGATATAGGAAATAGCTATAATTAATTTTTTTCTATAATATATACTCACATGTACTATCAAATTTAAATTTCATTTCGGAAAACATTCAAATAGATTATAATGTATTTACTGTAATATACCTGTATTTAACAGGGCCGGCTCAATGGATTCATAGTCCCTGTACACATACGTTTTACCAGGGCCCTTAAATTTAGCCCAAAACATTTAGGCCCTGCACACTTGCTCATCTTATCTTCCACACACTTTCCAGAAATCAACTCGTCGAGTCACACTTGTTTTTGCTGACTTAAGCGTCATAGAGTTCTCAGAAAAATTGACTATATTATGTCTTCCCGAAGACTATGCCGTGTTGTTGAGTTCATCTATGAGTCTTAGAAACCCCAATTAGATTCTCGTCCCCAAGCGAAAGAACCCAACCGAACGGAGCAAAAGTTCACTCTCCAGTGGACTAAACTCAGACCCTAACCTCTCTAGTTATTCCAAACACATGAAGTTTCCACCAATAAACAAATTCAACCGTCATTAAAAACCCACATGCAATTCTCACTCGAACAATAATAATTAAAGCACTTCTTCATTGTTTGAGACGTGACTCCATAGTCGAGAGTCGAGACTCCATCCTAACAAAACTAACCCACGTTCAAGGGAAAAAAGAGAGAAAGAAAGGGAAAAAAAAACCAACCCGAAATGAACCAAAACTTTTTCGAAACGGCTACAATATATTAGGGGGGCTTATTGGGATGTGGATTTGTGTAAAGTTTGTGGATTTCAAAAGTTGAGAGATTTTTAATCTTTAAAGATTTTTGTGGATTCTAATAAATCTGTTTACACAAATTTGTGAAATTATTACAATAATTTTATGGATTGTCGTAGATTCTTGCTGACTTTTTTCTTCAAAAATTTATTAAAAAAATATTTGATATGCTTGATTTCCAAATATTCTATCTATTAATAAGGAATGTTTATTTGTTTATAATGCTGGTTTGACGTAGAGAAAAACTCATATTCTCCAATCATCATCTGTGGCGATCAAATGTACAAACACTATCTTTTTTTGTTCCTTCATCATAGTTTTGATACATTTTATAGTATGGAAAAGTTGTTATTTTGTCTCTTTTTGCAAGTTACGTTTGTTATATAATTGATTGTTTAGCATGTCCTTAGTTATACTAAGTTACTAACTATCATAGTTTTCGAATAAGATTATCATGTTACATCGTTTTTGATTTATGTTCTTTTAACGAACATGGCTTTTTGTTTTTATACGGTTTTTGTTTGCTATATACTATGGATGGAATGTCTCCATTTTTTGTGTTTGTTTTCTATTTTGGAGCCGATGATTTATTAGATAGTGGAAACGAGAGGAGTTTTTAAAATACATAGGATAACTAAAATATTTTGAAAGTTGTTGTTAATGAGTAAATATGTAAAGAATCATTGTTCCAATAACATTAGAGTTTGACAGAATTGCAAAATCAATAAATACACAACTTTTTGAATAACAAAAGATTTTAAATAGAATTACAAAATCCATACACCAATAACACCATATTTTAATTGAATTGCAAAATCACAACACCAATAACATGAGAGTTTACTAAGAATATAAGAATCTACAAACCAATAACAATAGAATCTTAAAATTTTAAAAGTCTTTAGAAATCAACATCCCAATAAGCCCCCCTTATTCTTTTATCATCTTACAAGTTTTGGGTTTTTTTTTTTTTTTTTTGGTCTGACAAATTTTGGGTTTATTAGGTTAAAGGTCATAACTCATAAGTTATGGGTTATTAGAGATAATATGGGCTTATTCATAGGCCCACTAAGTTAACCATCTTTTTTTTTTGGGTCAAAAACCATCTTTTTATAGTTCCATTTCTGCAAGTCCAATTTGATAACACTCGAATGTTTTACGGATATTAATTAGAGTTGTCTCTCTATAATCGATTTTACGAAATGGTAACTCCCAACTGTTGAATAATAATACAATGCATGAAATGAAGCCACACGTATAATCTATGTAAGTCACAATTAAAAATATTTTGATATTTTATCACCTGTGAAAAATATGATACAATAAATTATAAATATCGTTAAAAAAATTATACATATATAAAAATTATTAAGAACTTCTATTATACTTATTATTTGTCGCTTTCTAGTTTATAAATCAAGGTAATAGGATTAATACTAAAACTTTAAAAGTCTGCATTAGAATAAAATTAAACTCTAAAATTCTGAATTAGTATAAAATTAAATGACCATTTATATTTTTGATTTATTGTGTAATTTAATAGTTAAAAGTTAAAACCTCCCAAAAAAAAGGACAGGCGGTTATAGGTACATTTAAGACGTATTTATTTACCTAGCTATTCACAAAGTCTTTTTACATTAATTTTGTCAATCCAATTTATGACAAAACGTTTGTTGACTATGCAAGTTTGCTAAGTCTAAAGTCAACTATAAAATAAAGCTTGAATATGAGATATTACGTTTTTTCTCCAATAGTTATCGTCTATACGAGATGGATCTAGTCAATAAAATTTTATGACACACGAAATTGAAGCAGACGACTCATTCTACAATATGTTGGGATTTCTACAAAAAAACTTGCACTCGCAGTTTGCAACATATGGCAGAATTCTAGATTTAAACATCAGATTTGATATAGAAATATTAATCTTATGACCAAGAAGCCCGAAAGTAAATAGGTTAATATATGTGAAGGTTGGGATATTTAATGAATACGATATAACCTAATAGGGAACAACCTGTGAATGTCGTAGACTTCACCATTTCAACACATTGACTTAAATTGCGACCGGCGCATTCATATCAATAGACAATAAGTGAAGTACTTATAATTATCATTTTGACTTTGCTTTAGTTTCATTTTGACTTTGGAAAAAATATCATAAAGAACCTTAATTTTGCGTTTTGGTTAAAAAAAGTTTTAATTTTGTATGTGATGAAATAAATAATTAACTTTTTGTTGATTTTCTAATAAATCGTAAATATTTATTGAATTTACTAATTTAGGCATATCGTTAATTCGATAAACGGAATAAATAATTAGAGGTTATTTTTTTGTTAACAAGCTTCCGTTTATTAGCAAAACGACGTTGTATGAAAACAGATCTAGAAATTCATTTGGGAATTTTGGGAGAATAGAAACCGATATGAAGATTTTGTTATATTTTCAAACGACGCCGTTTTATTCATAAACGGAAGACTATTAATAGGATCGAAACACTCCTAATATAACATTGGTTTTTCACTTTTTCTCATATGAACTAATACTTCTTATATATCTATATGATTTACCTTCTAGATTTTTTTATAAAAATAAATAATTAGAACCATACATACGAATCGGTCTGATCCGAGTGAAGCTTATAAGATCTGATTCTGATGGACCCATTTCTTGAATCAATCAAACTTAAATTATATACTTTTCACATGACTTTTTCAAAAAAAGTTCATGCGATAAATTGATTTTGAGCTCATTTTATAGAAATTGAAGAAGTAGTTTTCTCATAGCAAAACGTTACAAAAAATTGATGCTCCATTCACATTTGGAAGAGAATTTTCAGAATAAAAAGAAAAAAAGATAAAGATAAACATTCACATCACGTCATAAATTCCATGACTCAAAATTCATAAATCTAGATTAAATATATATATTTAAGAGAAATTGTTAAAAATGCCCCTTTTGGTGTGCCCTTTTCAAAAATGCCCCTTTTAGATGTCCATTTTCAAAAATGCCCCTTTTTAAATATGAAAAATTTATAAAATTTTATTAGGTTTATAAGGTACTTATGGATGGTAACTATTACTTGAAGACTCGATCCAAGTATTTATAAGATTTTATAAGGTGTTTTTAAAGGTTTTACAAGATATTTTAAAGGTTTTTCAAAGGTTTTACAAGATATTTTAAAGTATTTACAAGATATTTTAAAGGTTTTTAAAGGTTTTTCAAAGGTTTTACAAGATATTTTAAAGTATTTATAAGATTTTAGATACTTATTTGTGTATGTTTTAATAATGTTACATACATATTTGGGTAAATCTTATATTTTAGGAGCATTTTTTATAAGGTTTTAAAGAAGGGGCATTTTTGAAAAGTGGCATTGAAAAAGGGGCATTTTTGCAAAAGACCTATATTTAAAACCAACGACTGTCCTTGAAACTTTCTAAGAGCATCTCCAACCCACCTCTATATTTGCCTCTAAACTCTATTTTAGAGGCAAATCTACTCCAACCCACCTCTATTCTCACCTCTAAAATAGAGATCTCTATTTTTTCCCCTATAAATAGAGTTAAACTTTTTAGAGGAAAAAATAGAGAAACACATTGGAGTAAAAATAGAGAAAACTTACCTCTATTATAGAGATAGAGTTAAAAATAGGGAAATACATGGGAGATGGTCTAAATGTGTAATTCTAATTTATAGAACCACGAGTACACATGAAAACATAATGGTTCATCAGATTTCATACAAAGGATGTGAAAATCAATAATGTAACCATATTTGTGGTCCCTTATTGATTATATAGGCTTTGCTACTTTGCTTTATGATTCCAAAAAAAATATGTTTGGATTTTGGTAATTGGCACCATGTTCATGTGCCAACTAGTTAACAGCTAGCTAGTCCTCACCAAAGTTAAAGAATCAGACACACGCTTAACTATACAAAATTGATATCTAAGAGCATCTCCAATGGTGAGAGCCCTCTCATGGGCTCTCTCCCATTCTTTAATATTAATTGTGAAAATTTGAAAGAAGAGAGCTTGTATTTTTTTTGAAAAAAAATTCATAGTCCAATGGTAGTATCTCTCAAGTGGGGTTCTCTTCAAATGTTTCAAATTTTTGTCCACAATCTCTAAATCTCAAAAAAAAAATCAATACTTTGCTAAAGAAAACAATGTTAACTAGTTTCTTTCTCTTAAGAAGTATAGAAGTCGAAAAGAACATATATCCAAGAACACAAAGAACATGTCTTAAGTAGAACACTAGTTTTAAGAAGAACACAAAGAACAAGTCGAAAAATCAACACACCTTCCTCTTAAGAAGTACAGAAGCACAAATCCAAGAGACTCTTGGTCAGCTCTTCGACTTTGCTCTGAGAAAGAGAAACCAAAATATATGAGCAAAGACGGTTTACTTCACATAAGGAGATTAAAATTGGCAGTATTCCTTACCAATACCAGTTCAGGAACATATAAAACTTTCCAATAAGATCATTTTCTGAAGTTCAAAAACAATGAATTCTTAGCTAGGGAATCGTGTGTAGGAAAGTACATAATTTCAAATCCTCACCAACTCCAGTATTCAAGAAGAAAAAATCTCCAGGCATGTTCCAATCAATCTCATTAACCTGTTACAAGAAGACGAAAGACATGAGAACATTCCATACAGCACCAGAAAATTACTAGGCGATTATTACATGAACAAGGGACTTAGGTGAAATATAACTGCATGCACTTTTAATAGGAGACAGGGAAGGAGACAGATACGGACATCCAGAATGGTAAGCTCATCATCCTACATTGGCCAATAAGAGAGATGCTAGTGTATACAACACTTCATGTAATGCATACAACACTTCATGTAGGAACAATGCTAGTGTAAAGAGATGGGGCTCGAGACAATACCCTATTACCAACAGCTACATGTGTCCCATCAGGTTTGTAAGTGATGTTTATATTCTCTCCACTAAGTTCTGCCTGCTGTGTGCATTTTCCACCTGTATAACTCGAAGAAGACATATCTTAGCAATTGATAGTAATATTTGTGAATGACACAAAGCTAATCCATTAGAAAATTTACAGATTTCTAAACCAAGCTCCAGCCATATTTCAGAAGCAAAACTAAACGATTAAGAGAATACTTCTCCATATGTATTCATCATCATCAAAAACACACAAAGTTCCCATAGCTCAAAAGGTAAAGAAATTACATGACCGTGTGGTTCGATATTCCAAATGCGAGTCGTTTGTTCAACAGAACCCGAAGCAAGATTTGTTCCATTAGAATTCCAAGCTACAGAATGTACCTTCAATCCCAAAAATTCCCCCAAATTCAGCAAAAAAACTAGGATTTCGCAAGTTTTATTGACTACAGAAAATTAGACTGGAGATAGAAAAAATAAAACCCTAATTTAGGAGATTTAACCACAAAATACAAAATTAAATCACGATTTACACTCAATAATTGCTTGATTAATACCTAATTTGGAGCTTCCATCACAGATTTCACTCCAAATCACTTTCGGTTCCGATTGAGTTTGGTCTTCCTCCGCCAATGGACAACAGCTTCTGTTGACTTGATGATTTCGGCGTCTCAAATTCCTCGATTACACACATAAACGGCTTGATTCATCGAAAATCATAGATCAATGATTTTCTGTTTGGTCGCGAGAGAGACAGAGAGAAAAGAGAGTAGTCGTGTTTAGTTTTATTTTTGCGGAGTAAACAAGAGTTGTTTATTTTTTTGTTTTGTTAAATATGACGACCCAATCAAATAAGGACACGTGGTCGGCTCTCTCATCCTCAAAAAACTCTCTTCAGAGAGCTGGCTCTCTCAATTTTATTCACTTTTGATTTATTTTTTTGCAATTAATTCAAGAGAACCTCTGAATTTTTTCATTACATCCTCCCATTGGAGATGCTCTAACTCACATTATGCGTGGCGTTAAAATTTCAATAATATAATTACCATTATCTTTTTGAAAATAGTATATTGAAAACAATATTATTGGTAAATGGTAACTGTATAATTATATACATGATTTACAACATTACTAATCATATTAATTTGTAACCTTATGGTAGAAAATTACTATATTACAGGGAGGGGAAAAAAAATAGAATATAGCTAACTTGAAAATCAACTTTAAGTTGAAGAATGAATAGTATAATTTATCAAAACCTCTTCTTGACATATCGATGGTGTATGGTAACATTAGTATTAAAGAATTGGGAGGAATTATTGAGGAATTTTGGTGGGGAAAAATGGTGTTACATCATTTGAAGACTTTAGGAATTTTTTGGTTAGCTTTTTTTTTCCTTTTTTTTTGTTTTAATTAAAAATTAAATTATTTTTGAAACTATAAATATTTAGTTTCAATAGTAAAAGTTGTTAACAAAAAAAATTGTAAACTAAATAAATACAATAATTTCGTTTTTATCACAAATTACAAAAGAATTTTAAGAGTTTATATTTTTAAATAATAATTATGTTTGATTAATTATCAAATATATTAACTTTAGATTTCTTCAAAAGTCAATAAAAATATATAATAATTATATTCGATAAAACTTTTATATATACTAACTTAAAATTCCACTCAAATCTATCTTAATTTTTTATGAGTTACTTATAGGGTCTATCCACTTCTCTTTTGAAGTATTTCTTGTAGAACATAGCCTAATCTTCTCCCTATACTCGAAGTGTAACAATGGTGTCTATCTCTCCTATAATTTCTTACTTTATTCGGATAAAAAAAATTGAGAAAATCATGTGCTGGGTACTCAATGTACCTCATGTTTATCCATTTAATGAACAGCAGCGCACTGATGAGTTCAACTTTTACATTGTATCACACCCTCCTTGGCTTCTAACATGCATCATCTATTCCTTCCAATTTGTACCTTTCAAACTATCTGGTATCGGTGTGGAATTTTTGGCTAAAGATATCATTGCGAACATAGCAGCCAAAATTGCTCAATCTTGGTACATGTTCAATTTTCTAAAGGTAATTTCTTGTATTTATGAATTTATCCGACTTCTCTTTTAGAATAGTTATTTATATGTCTTTTAAGTTATTTCTGACTTTCTTTTGCTTTTTTTATAGGTTATCTTGGCTATGATGATGATCATTCAAGAGGATCTAGGATGTTAATTGATGAAAAGGTTGGTTTAATCCCGACATGCTGCCACGTGGTCTTATGACAACATGAGAAGGTTGTCAAAGAAAAATGCTTTTTAAGTACAAAATATAGATTTTTCATTGAGATATCAATAGAAATTTTGGCTCCGACTGGTAACCATTAAAAGAACAAAAAGAAAATGAATAAAAAGAACAATGCGGAATGGAACAAACAATTTTTGAAGAACGAAAAGGAAAAGATGCAGAGAATGAATAAAATGTACTATTATGATGAATGGTAACCAAACATTAAAAATATCTTTAAAGATATATTAAATAGTAAATAAATCAAATTTCAATGAAAAATACTAAATATTTTTTATATTTATTTAATTTGAAAATTTATATTTGAACCTAAAATTTGTGAACTAAATATATATATATATATATCATTTTAAATAATAATATTTAATATTAACATAAAATAAAATTGAAAGAGTAATTTAAAATATATTATTCTTTTACAATATAAACATTTTTAAATTTATTTTACTATTTATATATTTTTCAAGTGAAGTCTTAAGAGTAATTCAACATGAAATTCTTATCAAAAATATTTTTTCTGTTAATATATTGTGAAGATATGAAAATTATTATATAATAAAATACAAATATTATTGATAAACATTATTTTTTTATTTATTTTAAAATAAAAACGAATTTTAATATTTGTTCTTTTTTTGTTCCATTTGTTCCTCATCAATTTTGGAGAGGAACATTTTTGTTCTAGTGTTCCTCTTTTGGTGAGGAATGTAAAGGAATGGTGTGGAAAAAATATTACATGTAAATGGTAAAAATATTGAGGAACAAAGAGGAATATCACATTCCTTCTCATTCTTTTCCTAAATTATGGTTACCAATCGAAGCCTTTGTTGATGATAATGAAGAAATCAAGGCTCTGAATCGAGATGAAATCAAAGCCATTACACAATGGATGTTAGCTGTATTGTTTCTTGTTTATGCTATTCTTTCTATTGTGATAGTTGTTCTTATGACTGATTGTACATGTGTATCTAATTTACAAATAGACTAGGATTATCCACTCATTGATAATTAGTTGTGAGTTATAAATCTATAATCTAATACATATGTCTTAGATTATTACCTAAAATTGTACTTGATTTGAGACAAATTGTAATGCCGTTTAAATTGGTTCATAAATTAAGAAGTAAATTCCACTATTTTTGAAGAGTTTACACTCTCGAGCATCTTTTATCATGTTATGAACATTCGAACATATATAATCCAATCCGAAAAATAAAATTTAATATATATATATATATATATATATAATTTATATGCAAAGCTTTTAAATAGTTTTAGACATGCCTTTAACACAAATGTTTTGAAAAATTAAAATTGGTAATTATTTAACGAGGCTTATGTTTTTCCCAACCCCACTATAATTTAAAATATGTTTTCGCAAATATAGATGATCAAAAGTTGAAAAAAACTAATGAGCCAAACTAAATATAAGAAATTTTTATCAAAAAAATAACACTAATAAATATAAGAAATAGAGACAACAAAAGCTTAGGAGATGGTTTGAATTTGGTAATCCAGTTTTTGTCTGTACTTATGAAACCTAATCTGTATTATAATTATAATAGTTTACTTATACAACAGATTAGGGTCCATATTAAATCATTAACTTTATACAATTATTTTTTTTGGCGTTTATACGATATATTCAATAACTTAACTTTGCCACTAATTCAACGTCACAGGTATGACATGTACTTTCATCTTTGTTATATATATAAATGACAAAGTGAAGTTCTTTTGTCTTTTTTCTTTGTAGGATTGCCTACCAATCATAATCTATATGCAATTATTTGTACCTATAATTTTTTTAATTAATATATAATTCTCTAATATATTTTACATGTGACTTTACCGCCATGTAAATCCAAATCATACAATATTTTTCTTTTTGGCAAAAATCATACTAAATGTCGGTCACATTATGTATTCAAGGACAATTCGACATGCACGATTGCTAACTTCTAAAAGATCATTAATATGATCTATTTTATTGATATGGTTTGATTGGCTTAGAGAGCAATTGCCTCATACTATGTCACTTTCGACTACCGACTTGAAAATTGGCTTCGAACTCTCGTAAGTGGAAGTTAAAAGATGGTTGTGGTCCTTGTGGACCATTAGAAATAATGATATATGTATACGAAAAGATAACAAGAATTTAAATTACAAAAATATAAGGTCATAAACAAAACATAATTTGCTATTTTTTTTTAAGTATCTTTTGTGATTTTTAGACCTCATGATCGATGCCAAGAAGTAGTATTCAAATTAGGTTTTCACCATGCAACACCAAAATTGTAACCACTATCCAAAGACTTTGTGATCCTAAAACTTTGAAATGCATTTTTTTTGTCGCCCCCTATGTAAAGAAACCACTTAATCCCTTTCTCATCATTGCATTTGTTCTGGTTATATTTTTTTGAGTTTTATCTATATATATATATGAAAGAAAATTTGTATGTTGAGATGAACAATACGCAAGAAGAAAATATAGTTAAGCTCAATATGTTAAATAAAATTTTAGTTTGAATGTAACATTTTCATTTACGTACTCTTTGGTATTGTATGTCTCTGAATTTGATAAACAGAAAAGAGTACTATTCCACACTGAGTACCATTAAACCCTCTCGATGAATTTTGAAACAAAGTCAGACAGGGGTATAACAGTCAATTTACATAATAGTCTATTTGCAAACACCATACATTGTCGACCGACCTAATTGTTTCTTTTTGGTCAAATAAAAATTCAGATATATTTCTATTTCTCAATGTAAAAAAGCATCTTTTTTTAGATTTTTTTTTTAAATTTTGGTTTTTTTTTTCTCAAAATTTCCACATGTCAGTTTTTCCGTATTTTTTAGATTTGAACATTATTGATACCTTTTAATTATAACTATGATGAACACACAAAATATATGAAAATAAACACATATCAAGAAATAGAAATAGCTGTAAAAAAAGATAATAAAGAAATAGAAATAGAAATAAAACTGTTGTTTTTTTTAATGAAACAAGAAAAACGAAAAGACAAGGTAGAAAAAAACACAATAAACAAAAACAGAAAAACTTATTTCATATGTAACAAAAAAAAGGAAATATGATGGCAAATTTTGGATATTGTTGATACAACAAACTTACAAAGTCTTTTGCTTGAGTAGTTGTTAAAACCAGGCTATTAGTGACATATAATAAACAATTCAAACGTATATTTTCGTTTTCTAAAATTTAATATTCCTACATTCATACAATAATAAATAACAAACAATAAAAATTCATTGGACAAATTCAAAATTCTTTGATTTCAACTATTCTAACAAATAAAATTTTAAAAATTTGCAGAAACACTTAAACTTTTTGGTTTACAATTTTTCAAATTTACCTTTAACTTACGAAAAATACATATCAAACCTACAAAATCAAATTTAACCATCAATATAATTTGTATAGGTATCATCAAAGAGATTTTACAGTTATATATAGAAGAGTCTTTAAAATCTAAAGGTATATTTGGATTCCTCGTCATGAAAAATTCAGTTTAATATATAATTAATCATAATTTAATAAATTTGACAATAATGACTACATATATTAGATTACAGATTAAACTTGACTTAATTAATTTAATTTGTAATTTTCAAAGTTGAAGGTAAACTTGCTAAAAAAAGAATCATTTAGAAGAATTTGTGCAATAAAAAACATCTTTAAATAACTGCATTCATGTATAAGAAAAACAAAAATCTTATCAATCTCTTAAATGATATACTAAAAGTTATACACACAAAATATCCTGATTACACATTGTTTTTAAAAAATACTGATATATATTTAATACTTAAGTATATAATACTTACAAAAAACCCAATCAAACAACTTTCAATAAAAAAATAAAACATAAAATCATTTGTAACAGTACATTATTTTTTTAAAATACATTTTTTGGATATATATATAGGAGTGGAAGTAGGAGATTGTTTAATTTGTCTGTCTGTGTCTTTAGAAATATAAAAAAGAATCTAAAAAATTAAAGTGTCGGTGAATTCTCAATCTTTGTCTTCTTCTTACGTCTTTTTAAAACCTCCTCCTTCCTCCTTGTTATGTAACCGTTTCGCCGTCACGTTTTCCAAATTTCTCTCTCTCTGCTCAAATTTCTCAATCTATGATTTTGTGATTTTTTACCCCGGCGGTTATGGAGACGGGAGCGGCGGTGAAAACGACGGTTACGGCGGCGACGATGGGGATTGGGACGAGGAAGAGAGATCTGAAACCGTACAAAGGAATACGAATGAGAAAATGGGGAAAATGGGTGGCGGAGATTAGAGAACCGAATAAGAGGTCAAGGATCTGGTTAGGCTCTTATTCTACACCTGAAGCAGCGGCGAGAGCTTACGACACCGCTGTTTTTTACCTCCGTGGTCCTTCTGCTCGGCTTAATTTCCCGGAGCTTTTGGCTGGACTAACGGTTTCTAACGGCGGAGGAAGAGTTGGTGATTTATCGGCGGCGTATATAAGAAGAAAAGCGGCGGAGGTTGGTGCTCAGGTTGATGCGCTTGGAGCGACGGTGGTTGTGAGTTCCGGAGAGAAAAGCGGTAACGGATCATTGGAACGGGTTGATTTGAATAAATTACCCGACCCGGAAAATTCGGATGATGATGATGATGACGAGTGGGTGAAGAGGAGATAGAAGGAAAAAAAAGTAGTTGTAGAAGGAAAACGAGAATGTTTGTCTTTACGATGCGCGGTCTTCGCTAATATGCGCTTTTCGTTTTAAGTGTTTAACATGCGCCCTCCATTGTTTTGGGTTTTGTTTCTTCCTCGATAATCAAAGATTTTAAAACTCAAAACTCTCAAATTTGTCACTTACGACTACAAAAATAGATTTGCATGATCTTTTGTATTGACGAATAACGACGTATTATTTAAACTTTATGTCCTAATAACAACGTATTAATCGAATTTATGTTCTATTTTATTGATTACTTTAATTTTACTGTCTCACTTTCTTTTTAATTGACGTTAAAAACGTCAAACATTTTAAAATGATGAGAGTATCGTAGACCCGTAGTAAAATCTACATTTTGGCTATGAATGGTTATGTAGTATGCTCTGGACCGAACTAAAATCGGACTAATTCGTACTTAAATCACTATTCACCGTTGTGGACCAATATGCACTATTGCAGATTAAAAAATTTTCATACTACACACTTGAGGATAAAACTCCATACCATCAAAAATTCACTGTTGGTCCGCTTAAATATTCTACTCCCCAAAAGCTCTACACTAATAACTAGCAACAATGTTAAAATGCATACTATTGTCTTTTCTATACTATAATCTGACGTTTTGCTTACTAAAATATTGGTACGCATGCATGGTCCGATCCGTATGAACCAACCATTCAAAACTTTTGTGTTTTTTTACAAATATTTTTACATACAAAGTGCATAGTTTGAAATATTGAGCATAGTATCCACAAAATAATTGAGTCTGCTTTATCAGAAAGCTGAAGATGCAAAAGTATCTCAGTCCGTGAAAATAATTTTGATGTGTTTAAATTTTAAAAGTAGAGTTGCGAAAACACTTATTTGTGGAAGTTGGTGTCCTAACAACTAAAGCTCTAAAATTATTGTAACCACTAAAAGTGATTTGATGGTTTTTTTTTTTTTGAGGATTTTTAATGTTGGGACAAAAATAATAATACAATTTGCTCATTCGGTTTTAGGGGCAGAGTTGGTCGGCAAGATTCTTCGGTGATTCTGATATTTGTTTAGTGTACACATTGGCCAATACCAAAACGTGAAAAGTGAGGAACCGTTTAGATAACGGGTGATATGTGAGTTTAAAGATTTGACGCAAAACTTGTGACCACAAAAGAGAAACACACAAAAGATTCGGACACGAGACAGCAACTTTTTTTTTCAGACATGTTATGTGTGATCCCCCCCAAGTTCAACAAACCCAAAAAAAACGAGTTTGAAAAGTAATAACTGAATGTGAAATTTCGGTTTATGGGTTTTCTTGTATCCATACACATTTTCAAACATTTTCGTATGCCTCATGATTAGCCTTTGACGTTGATATTACTTTCTTTCTCGTTTTTGCTACATAAGTACATAACCGAATTTTCCGCCAAATTTCGCAAATAACGCGATGGTAAAACGGTAAGTATGCAGTGTATTTTTTGCGTGTGGTTTAAACAAATAACATAATATCATGTAGAACTGTGTGAGTGTGTGTTACCAAAGATGACATTTTTTACAATAAGCATAAAATCCTATTATTTTTTTTAAGAAATATACTTCTACATTTCATTTTATTAGATGTTTTGTAGGTTTTTATGTAAAATTTAAGTGCATTTATCCAATACATCTTACAAAAACAAACATAGCGAGTAAAATAAATAAACTAACTTATTTACAATTCTGCCATCAATTTTTTTTCTTCAAATAAAATGGTAAAACTTAACTATTTACTGCAAAATATACCCTTTTTCATTGTAAGAAAAATGAAACAGTAAAAGATTATGCAAATGGTAGCTGAACAATATTTAGCTTAATATTAGTGCCCATTGTTACCGACAAATTCAGCAGCAAGGCATATAAAGATATTTTGGTTGAACCAAAGCAAGAAGAAGTACCGTCAAAGAGAGTACTTTGGTGGATAAACAAACCAAAGAAAGAGAAATACTTTATTTTTTGTTAATGAAAAGTATGGTTAGATGAGAATCAAATACCCAAAGAATCTGATAACCTAAACCCATCAACAAAAGCAGCAGCTGATTCTGCAGAAAGACAGAGAGATTTGCACTTGCATAGTTTTTACTAAAGGACATCCTCGCTACAATTATGCGGAGAAAGAGAAACTAAAAATGGCCTAGAAAAAGAGTAAAACAATAGCTTAGCAGATCTTCTTGGTTGGTTCTTTCTTACGAACTACTGGAGATGTGTGTCTTCAAATCTCTAACAACTTCCTCATTGTTCTTATTGACTAGCTTTTGCACTGCATTGAAAGTCATGAAAATGGTTCATCCTTAAGTCAAGTAGATAGAAAAAAGATATGAGACCATCATAAGATGTGAACAGAGGACAGATTTGTCCTCGAACTAACAAAACTCTTAACAGAAACACTCTTACAAAATAAAGAAACTAGATGAAATTGTGGTGATATATAAGGTTATAACTCTAGCATGATAGTCAATTAGATTAGACTGAAAACCATAACAAAAGCTTCAAGATTTTCAATCCATGCTATCACAGATCCATCGCATGAGAACCGGATTAGTGAATGCCAATGACATATTATAAGAAAAGCATCTAGTCAAAATATTATACAGAGAGCTCAAAGTTCTTTTTCTGTCTATGGCACAAACTTCCACTGCCTATGGACAAAGCGAAAACGTACCATAAGATTTCAGGTGTGTGTCAAGAAGCTTCTGTTCTGTCGATTCATAATGAATGAGACAGACGATTTCCGTTACCCACACAACCCAATGTGTTTATAATAGCTTTCTTGTTTGACTTCATTTCAACCAGCATAGATTGAATAGGCAAAACATCCATTAATATAAAACAAGGAAACCAAAGCCAACAAAGTTATAATCTCAAATATCCCCATGAGTTAGTGATATAAGAGAGACATAAACTGTGCGAAAAGCCACAACCAGGAAAGTATTACCTGAGCATAGAAGTGCATACTAAGCAATTTTTAATCGCCATTTATCACAGGAATGCCTGCGTTCAGAGCTGTTGAAAAGAGGAGAAAAAGATCAACTGATAAAAAGCCAAAGACAAACAATATGATGATTCATATAAGAAAAACAATCTGTTAAAAATATTAACAGAGACAGTGAGCTCTCGGTTCTTTCACTGAGTATTAACACAGTCAAAGCTTTTACTGTCTATGAGAGAAGCAAAAACGTGCCATAAGATTTTCAGGTGGTGTCAAGAAGCTTATGGTTTTCATTTCACAGCGAGCACACACTTTCATAACGAATGAGACAGAAGGAAGGTTTAACCTGAGTATAAAAGTGCATACAAAGCAATTTCCAATCTGCCATTTATCACAGGAAAGCATTTGAAAAGGGGGAAAAAATGATCACCTGATAAAAGAAGCGTTTAGATAGATAAACAAGCACACAACTTGAGACATTCCTTAAAACCTGATATGATCCCACAGTCTCTATACTTCATCCGAGAAATCTAGAACCGCAAGAGTCAGCAGGCCATTATCATTGTATTGCCTAGTGTATTAATTTTGCCAAGTTGTGGATCAAACCCGGAATCGTTGACTAAAATCAATAAAACAAAAATGAGTACAGAAAAGCTAGACTCGAATTCAATTATCCCGAAGATGAGTTCATCATAAACCATAGTTAATAGCATGAGAGACATTCCTTATGATCCACACATTGAAGAAAAAAAGAACTAGTAAGATGGCTTATAAGCCTAATGCTTAGAAGAGCTCACTCACTCTCAAAATCCAGCTTATAAGCCATCTTACAACATCTCTTTCCTCATCATGAACTCACTCACCAAAACTCTAATACTCCACTTCTTCCCTGCACTTAACAATCACCAAAGCTTAAAACTAACTGTCAACATCTCCAACTAGAATTCTCAATTTCAATAGGCAATAACCAGAAAAGTTACAAACTTTACAAACCAAATCAGATAACAGTATCAACTACCAACAAATTCAACACTTTGTGGATTGTAGACACAGTAACTTCGTGTAGGAGCTAACCGGAGATGGAAATCGACATAAACCGGCGACGGTAGCGGCGGAGCAAAGCAAAATGCGATGATTCATGGAATAGGTAGGTCTCAAAAGTCACGAGAGGATCACGTGAGATATGGTGGACCAATCTTGAAAATAAATCGGACGGCTAAGAATAAAGCAGACTAATTCTCTTATCTATCTCTAACCGTTAAAATATTTATTTTAACCTGGGACTAGGGTTTTCAGATTTAACTCTTTGTCGTGTAAGACTTGAGCAACTATATAATCTCTACTTTTCTCAATCACTATCCGCTGCGGTCTCGCCGTGCTGCCCACAACAATCTCCGACTTCGTCTTCCTCATCATCATCGTCGTCTTCACCTAATTTATCTCTAATTTATCAAAAAAACCAAAAAAAAAACCTTAACTTTCGTTTCTTCAATCCCAGCAAAAAAAATGGCTCAGGTTCAAGCTCATTCTTCACATTCTCCTCCTCCGGTTGTTAACGACGGGTCGGTGACGGCTTCTGCTACACCTGGAATCGGCGGCGGAGATGGAGTCAATCACGGTGCTCTTTGTTCTCTCTATGTTGGAGATCTGGATTTCAATGTTACAGATTCTCAGCTTTATGACTATTTCACCGAGGTTTGTCAGGTCGTATCTGTTCGTGTTTGTCGTGACGCTGCTACCAATACTTCTCTTGGTTATGGTTATGTCAACTACAGCAACACCGAAGATGGTTTGTGCCCTAAATTTTTCCCCTTTTTTTGATTGACATTTTGGGTAAAGATCTGATTTTTCGATTTTGTAATCATTCCTTTGGCTAATTTGAGTGATGGGTATTGTTTAATTTGCTTCGATTGGACACTGATTAGGGAAATTTGTTATCTTTTGGGGTTTTTGTAATGATAGCGGAAAAGGCAATGCAGAAGTTGAACTACAGTAGTCTCAATGGGAAGATGATTCGGATTACTTACTCGTCTCGTGACTCTTCTGCTCGTAGAAGTGGTGTTGGGAATTTGTTTGTAAAGGTATATTCTTTGTTTTCTCTAGCAGCTTCTCTTTCTGTTTGATTGTCTAATTGTGTGTGTTTTTTTTTTCTTTATGTGAAGAATTTGGATAAGTCAGTTGACAACAAAACTCTGCACGAGGCGTTTTCCGGGTGTGGGACTATTGTGTCCTGTAAGGTTGCTGCTGATCATATGGGTCAGTCTAGAGGATATGGGTTTGTGCAGTTTGATACTGAGGATTCAGCTAAGAATGCTATTGAGAAGCTGAATGGCAAAGTGTTGAATGACAAACAGATTTTCGTTGGACCTTTTCTTCGTAAGGAGGAAAGAGAGTCTGCTGCTGATAAGATGAAGTTTACCAATGTTTATGTGAAGAATCTGTCGGAGGCGACTACTGATGATGAGTTGAAGACTACTTTTGGTCAGTATGGTAGTATTTCGAGCGCTGTGGTTATGAGGGACGGAGATGGGAAATCCAGGTGTTTTGGATTTGTTAACTTTGAGAATCCTGAAGATGCGGCTCGTGCTGTTGAAGCTCTCAACGGAAAGAAGTTTGATGATAAGGAGTGGTATGTTGGTAAAGCTCAGAAGAAATCTGAGAGGGAACTTGAGTTGAGCCGAAGATATGAACAAGGCTCAAGTGATGCAGGAAACAAGTTTGATGGGTTGAATTTATATGTTAAAAACCTTGATGATACCGTCACCGATGAGAAGTTGCGTGAGTTGTTTGCTGAATTTGGTACAATTACGTCTTGCAAGGTCAGCATTGTTTGTTTTCTGAATACATAATAACATGAGCGATGCCAAATTTGTCTCTTGATTGATCGGAAACTCTTTACTTTTTAACAAACAGGTTATGCGGGACCCTAGTGGTACTAGCAAAGGATCAGGATTTGTTGCCTTCTCTGCTGCCAGTGAAGCTTCTAGAGTGGTAATATAACTAATAGTGTGTCAAGACATATTAAGTTTCTTTTAAGCCTCTATTTTCTTTCTTGATTCATTTTCTTTTGGGGTATTCTGCAGCTGAATGAAATGAATGGTAAAATGGTTGGTGGCAAACCGTTGTATGTCGCTCTTGCACAGAGGAAAGAAGAAAGAAGGGCTAAGTTGCAGGTATTACTTCCCACCATAGATAAAACAACCCCCTACTACGTGCACTTATGTTTGCTTTGTCTCAAGTTCTTATGTTTCTTTTTTCAGGCTCAGTTTTCTCAAATGAGACCTGCTTTTATCCCCGGTGTGGGTCCTCGAATGCCAATATTTCCAGGTGGTGCTCCAGGTCTTGGACAACAAATCTTTTACGGTCAAGGGCCTCCACCAATCATCCCTCACCAGGTACCACTGATTTTCTAAGCTGATTAACTCTGTAATTGAGCTTGCTCATGCAAACTTAATCTGTTGGATGGAAGACTCTTTTAATTAATACTAACCCACTCATTTGATTCTACTTAAATCTGTGATGTAGCCTGGATTTGGTTATCAGCCTCAGCTGGTTCCTGGATTGAGACCAAACTTTTTCCCGATGATGCAGCCTGGTCAGCAAGGTCCACGACCAGGTGGCAGGCGGTCAGGTGATGGACCCATGCGCCATCAGCATCAGCAGCCAATGCCTTATATGCAGCCACAGGTTAGTTAAAAAAAAAGAGTATTTCTTAAATCCCGGATCAAGATGAATCTGTAATTCTTTGCTTTCTTCTCTCCTCTAGATGATGCCAAGAGGACGCGGGTACCGTTACCCTCCTGGTGGTAGAAACATTCCTGACGGTCCAATGCTAGGAGGCATGGTTCCAGTTGCTTATGACATGAATGGAATGCCTATTGCTCAGCCTATGTCTGCTGGTCAATTGGCTACTTCCCTTGCTAATGCTACACCTGCTCAACAGAGAACAGTAAGTCTCTCTCAATATATACATCGAGTTGCTACGGTGTAGGAGAGAATAAGTTCACTTACATTCAATATGTTTGTTTTGGGGTTTGTGTAGCTTCTTGGTGAGAGTCTATACCCATTAGTGGACCAGATAGAGCATGAGAATGCTGCGAAAGTGACCGGTATGCTTCTGGAAATGGATCAGACCGAGGTTTTGCATCTGCTCGAGTCACCAGAGGCTCTAAATGCCAAAGTTTCAGAGGCATTGGATGTGTTGAGGAATGTGAACCAGCCATCAACACAGGTGAGTGAAGGCAACAAAAGTGGAAGCCCAAGTGATCTCATGGCTTCACTTTCCATTAATGATCACTTATGAGAAGCTTTTGTTCGAGTTTTTTTTACCTTTGACTCTCTCCTCTCTCTCTTTCTCTGATTGACAAATTTTTGCGGGAATCTATTTGCTGTTTTAGACTTTTTTTTGCTCGATATGATTGCTTTTGTTTTGACTTCTTACTTTTTTGGGTTGACTTAAAAATGGATGGTTTTTTCTTTTTATTTTGTTGGATTGTTTTTTACTATTGCAAATTTGCGATCAGTTAAAAATTAAAATACTTTTATTATTGATTTGAGTTTTTTAGTTATTTGTTGGTTATAGTCAAGTTCGAGCAACAAGAGAGAAGGTTATGAAATTAGGATATGTATACTTTCATTAGCTAATTAATCCAATTTTTGAGTTTTTGTGATTACCAATTTTTCATAAATTTGGATATGTATAGTTTCATTAGCTAAGTAGGATATGTAAATTGCTTATTGTTATGTTTTGTCTCTAGGAGAAAACAAAAGCAAATCAAATGTTCATTTAGTTTTAGTGAAGTTTACAATTCATCATCATTCATCAATGACTAATATAAAAATATATAAAAAACCTAGAAAATGTATAGTCTTGCAACAAAAATTTTCTAGAATTTGGATTAGTAAATTACTACAAAACTTGTGTCAACGCTATAAAATTTTGGTAAAATTTTTATATTGAAGTTAAATTCCTCTAAAATTTGTTTGTTTGTTGTTCTTTTTTTTTTTATATATAAAATAATATATATAGTGTAATTATCAGCTTCTTAAACCAAAATTGACGTATGCCACTTTATTAATATTTTCAAATCTAATTAAAAAGAGAATGATTATATTGGCCCAAGAGTTTACAAAAGCTATGGAGTCCAATCTCAACAATATTTTGTGACATCTATTTCTTTTATTTTTCTGAACCATTTTCTTGGGCACTAAGACTTTGGCCCACAAAATTTATTTTTCATCAATCTGCCAAATTAGGCCTCGGTCTTGAAATATCGAGTTCCTTACACTGTTCATGTAGGGATAATTCGTTTAGGTATCCATTCTTGTGTCCATATTTGTAACCTGTAATAATCAAACTGTAGAAAGACAAAACTTAGAAAGAGTTTCACACCTAACATTTCTCTCGAGCCATCTAAATTTTATGGATTTACATTACTAGTTTTACATTGGGGTTGAAACTAACTAAGATAACAATTTTTTCATTAAAAAAAATTGAAATAAAGTTATTTGGTTAAGAAAAAAGCATCATCTCTTCAAATCTAGTGGTTAATATTAGTCTCAAATCCATGTTCTAAAAATCGATCGCCAAGCCGTCTAGCCAACTGACTAAGCGGTCATCGTTACCATTGCGATTTTAACCAAATCGGACTAATTAATCAGTAACCCGATTTTGGGGTCGCCTAAGATATTAGGCGTTAAAAGTCGCTTCATATCACCGACTTATTAATAATTTATACTGAAATAGATTAGACCATAGCTTTGTAAAAGCCCACACAAACTCATGGACCATGAGTCATGGTAAAAGAAGATAAAAACAAGTGGCATTTATAGAAATTTTTTTGATGGTTGCTTCTTACCTTGTCGATGTTGAACTTTTTATTTTGTAAAGGTAGAGATTTTCACATATTGTAGATATTATTTATCTCTCAATACTTAGTTTATGTGTGTTTATTGGAAAACAAAAAGTATACCAGAAATAATATTTTTGCAGGAAAAATGCATGAAAAATTTATGAAAAAGTTGAAGAACGTTACATGGTTGATTAGAGACCAAGGCTACCACATATATTGGTGGATGTACGTAGTATCAGATTTGATAAGTTTGTATGCTATGTTGCATAGTTTAGAAAATGAATACGTCTCATTTTGTACACCCTCTTCTAGAATATGGAAGACTGAAAGAATTACATTGGTATAGACGAAAAATGTACCACACAACATAAGTGTTTAGGTACCCTACTCTAAAAGAAGCATTGGTCAGACTTTGTAGTCATCCAATTGGTTAATGAAACATGAACAAAACATATAGCAAACCGGGTAAAATATGTGCATAATAATCCTACAATCAATTGAGACTCATCTGTTCCTGTTTTATCAATGAAGTGCTCCATCACGCTGCTGCATTCTAGCCCATTCCCAGGTAGCTAAAACAAATGGAGCATGAGGCAAATCACCTATGGTGTTCCTCTTCCTCGCCACCAAGACGTTGTACTTTTCTATAGCATGTAGAGCTCTTGTAGCTAGGTTAAAATCTCGGTCGGTTGAAATAACAATTATATTTGGTGGTAGTCTGTCTAGAAGAGCCTCCCCCAACATTTATTCCATAAGAAGTGAATCTGCAACATTAAACGATCTCTAAATTCATCTGGAATACCCTTTCCTAGTTGTTCTATATTACGACATCCATCAGCCGCACATGAGTGTCTTCTTACAGGAGCTTCAAGGAATCTGAATCCCAACGCTTGAATACTGGCATGCTCGGTTCGGTAATAAATATGTTTGTGTTCACTGTAAAAAACTTCACCGGCTCGCAAACTGTATAATCTTCATCAACCAGCTGAAGACTACTCTAGAATGCGAGCCACGGGAATGTTGCTAGAGAAGCTTGAGTTTTCACTATCCTGATATACACCAACATCTGATCCCGAAATTGAGCCATGATCTGCATAAGAGAAAAATGTTCTAGTAACCTAAATTAAATTACCAAAAGAAAATCACGGACTCAATTTCAACCAAAATTCTAGGGCTCGAAGAATATCAAAACCGTATAAATCAAGTTTCTAGAGTAGATTACATCTAACCGATTTTTTTTTATCTTAAATCAGCCAATACCAGAGATGGTTTAATATTTATATCACCTCAAAATCAAGGATACTAAACACTGACAACACCAAATCTGGAGCAAAACGACATAAGAGAAAATGAAAAGCTAAAAAAGATGTCAACATTCAAGGTCAGACGAAGAAAAAATTAGAGGAGAATTTATCAAAATGAAACCCTAGATTACGAAAAAAAAATTCACGAAAACATCAATTTCTACCAAATTCACGAAAACATCAATTTCTACCAAATTCACGAAAACACACATACATCAAGCTAGAAAATATAGAAAAAAAAAACATGAATACCTCCCTCCTCTATAAAAGTATAATGGAATCATTCAATATACATATTGAAATGGACAATCGTTTTTATTTATTTAATGTTGAAATAAATATTTGTTGTTAGAATCCACCAAATAGTAATCAATTCATATTTAGAAGTTATCAAATATTAACTCGAGAGTAGTTTAGAATTGTGTGATGACAAGTGACAAATGACAACTACAGTACTATTTTGTTGTTGGATTAATTTTATATATAAAAAAAAACTGATTTTATTTGATAATCTATTTATTTATTAGCTCAAAGTCAATTTTCTAATCTAAAAGAAACCAACCTCTTAACTCTTAAGATAGAGATGGTAAAGGTAAACAACAAAAACACTTTATTAAAGTTGATTAGATTGCACACATAACTCAATTAATTATTCATTAAGCATAATTCATTCCCTACTAATTACTAATCACTCTTTCAATAAAAAAAAAAAATCAGCTTAAAATGTTTAAATATTAGAATTTCGAGGTCCATGAAATTCATAAACATGTTTCCCTTACAATACAAATTAAACTTTAATTTTAATTTTATTAATCTTGTACGATCCAACGTTCATTAAGCGTACGTGGCCCATTTCGATCAGATCCTACCCGACACATCCTCTCTCTCTCTCTCTCTTACACAGTCTCACTCACTCTCTCTCTCTAAAGTGGTTTTAACTTTGCCAAACAATCTCTTTTTCTTCCTTAACCCTTTTGTCTTGGTCTTTCTCTGTTTGTTAATCTCCATTGTTCTGTTTCTTGAAGAGGATCGGTTAAGTTTTGGTTAAGAAGGTGAGGAAAGTTTTGATCTTTATTAATGGGTTTTCTTCAAAATCTTCTAAATGTGGCTAACAAAAAAAGATGTCTTTATTGTGATTGTGTCATGGGTTTCTTTTTAAAGTCTTAAACTTTATGAATTGGATTTTTCTTCTTTTTAGTGTATAGTGCATGTATAAGCCATTGATGGAGATTAGCTCAAGCTTTCTATTTATACATTTTTAGGAAGGAATTTTGTTTATTCTGATTTGGGATTTTTAAGACAATGAGAGGGTTTTGTTTTGTTCTTTGTTCTTTGTTCTTCAGTCTCAATCTGGATTTGAGTCACATTCACTTGTGAATGTGTGTCCATTTTGAGAAATGTGGGATTGGAGAAACCAAACAAATCAAGAAAAATCTGTCTTTTTAATGCAAATGAGGTTTTGAAGCATTTCTAAAGTCTTCCTGTTTTTTGGTTTCTGTGTTATAGCAAAGATTCAAGAGTAGTTGTGTGTGGCTTGTGGAGGTAATAAATGGACCATAAAGGATGGCCTTGGAAGAAGAAATCAATGGAGAAAACCATTGTTGAAAGCAATGGAGAGGTTAGTGGATATGATGATGATAACATTAATGTTTGATGTTAGGTTGGAAAATGGATCTTCTTTGCTCATTTATGTTTCTTTTAGTAGTTAGTAATCAGAGTGTGATCTGTTTGAGATTCAAGTGTTGTTTAGCTCATTGTGTTTGAGGTTAAGCTTTTCTTTCTTGTTGCTCTTTTTGGAAAAAGTTAAGTCTCTCAAGCTTTGTGATGTAATTTGAGACACCGATGATTGTGAAACTTGTGTAATAGCTAAGATTATCTTGATGAGTTAGGATTTGTCTCGCCTGATTTTAGCCGTATTTGCTGATTCATGAGCTTGATTGTTCTTAAAATTTAGACTGAGAAGGTTGTGGCTGACAAGATAGAGCTGGAAAATCGCGTGAAAAGTCTAAATGATAAGCTTACCTCTGTCGAGGCTGAGAGCAATAAGCATGAGACTGAGGCGCAAGAAGCAATTGTTGGTATAATCTACAAACCTTACTTTCCTCGACTTTTGTCCTCTTCACGGTCTCATGTAGCTTCATGTTCCATTTGCATTTTGTGTTAACAGGTTGGGAGAAGACAAAAGCTGAAGTAGCATCTCTCAAAAAGAAACTTGATGAAGCTTTGAATGAAAAACACAGGAGTGAGGAAAGGTCGAGTCACACGGATGCTGGTCTAAAAGAATGTATGCAACAGCTTCGTTGTGTTCGTGAGGAGCAGGAGCGAATGATGCATGATGCTTTGGCAAAAACATCACAGGAGTACGAACGGCGCTTGATTGTTATAAAGACAGAATTGGCAGGTACTAGTAAGAGGCTTGCAGAAGCAGAAGGCGAGAACGCTCAACTCTCAAAGGCTTTGTTAGCAAAGAACAAAACTGTTGAAGATTTAAACAGAGAGAGGGATCGTATCGAGGTTGATTTCAATTCTTTGGTGAGTAGTTTAGAGTCCAAGGAGAAAGAAAACGTTTCACTGAGATATGAAGTCCGAGTGCTGGAGAAAGAGCTCGAGCTTCGGAATGAGGAGAGAGAGTTTAGCCGTCGAACCGCTGAAGCATCGCATAAACTGCACTTAGAGAATGTGAAGAAAGTTGCAAAGTTAGAATCAGAGTGTCAAAGGTTACGGGTTTTGGTAAGGAAACGGTTACCAGGACCCGCTGCTCTGTCTAAAATGAGGAATGAAGTAGAGATGTTGGGAAGGAGAAGGGTCAATGGAAGCCCTCACAGTCCGATGATTGATTCCGAAAAAATCAATAACCTCACTGAACAATTATGCTTACTGGAAGAAGAGAACAAAACTCTGAGGGAAGCCTTAAACAAGAAAGTCAGTGAGCTTCAGTTCTCAAGAAATATGTATTCTCGAACAGCCTCTAGACTACTAGAATTCGAGTCTCATCTTGATGAATCTTCTAAAGGCACAAACATTGAGCCAAGCCGGAGTAGCAATGTGTCACATGAAGTCTCTCTTGCATCCGTATCAGAGTTTGAAAATGATGATAAAGTTAGCTGTGCCGATTCCTGGGCTTCTGCTTTACTTTCAGAGCTGGACAATTTCAAGAACAAGAAGCAAATGGGATCAAGTTTGGTTGGAACCCCTAAAGCTTCAGAGATGAAACTAATGGATGATTTTGCTGAAATGGAGAAGCTTGCAATGGTTGCAAGTACAATCGATAACCGACGTGGAAGTTCTCCTATTTGTTCTTCTGATTCCATTTCAGCTACTGGTCCGGTAGAGAACGAATCTAATGAATATACATCAGAGGTAACTAAAACTTCTGGAACAGATGATTCATTGAATCCTGATGCATCTCCCAAAGATGATATTAAGTCAGATTCGTTACCTCAATCTCTTCATATAATCTTGAAAGCGGTAATGGAGCATAAGCGTATCACGCAGAGAAACACTGATGAAGTACTTGAAGATATCAGAAAAGCTCTGTCAAGTGTAAACCATTCAAGCTTTTCTGTGATAAACCACCAGGAGACTAAGACTATCACTGTAGAGGATAGACTAGATATGGAGTGTAATATCAGCAAATCGATTCACAGAATCATTGAAATTATCGAGGGAGTCAGTCTAAAAGATGAGAGGCATGTGTCCAATGGAGAATCAGAGAGGCTTTCAGGTTACACTGCTCGCGTCTTGCAATGGAAAACTACAGAGCTAAGTAGTGTGTTGCAGCGATTTCTTCAAACTTGTTACGATCTGTTAGACAGAAAAGCAGACATGAAGAAGTTCACGCAAGAGCTAAGTTTTGTGTTGGAATGGATGGTAAACCACTGCTTTTCTCTTCAAGATGTTTCAACCATGAGAGATGAGATTAAGAAGCAGTTCGAGTGGGATGAATCACGGAGCGGAAGCGAAGTTGATATTGGAACATTTCGTCAGGTTTCAGAAGCAGAAAAACATAAGACAGAAGATGTTTCCTTTTTGGCTTGCAAAGATCAGTTGATAGAAGACAAACCTGGTAACCAAAAGCTGTCAAGCAAAACAGTTGAAGAAGAGGCAAAGGACAAGAGAGCGAGGTAAATATGAATGCTTGAAGTCTTCATGTCAGCAAAATCTTACATTTATCTCTGATGCATCCAATGGTTTTCTTGTTGCAGTGCTTCAGAGAATGAGCTCAAGCTGGAGGAAAAACAAAACATGCGAACCGTAAGTTACAAGCAGAACAAAATCAATTCCATTACACTGAGAATTGTTTTTGTCCAAGACCAATCTGTTTTATGTGTTTGATGATTCAGGAACTGGAAATCGCTGCTGCTTCAGAAAAGTTGGCCGAGTGTCAAGAGACGATTCTAAACCTGGGAAAGCAGCTCAAGGCATTGACTAACTCGAAAGAAACAGCTTTACTTTCAGAAAAACTGATGTCTGACATTACAGACAAATCAAACAACCTAGCTGGTGCACAACCTTCACAAGAGACTACTATACCAGAGAAGAGATTGACCAGCCAGAGATCATCTCTTCTGGACCAGATGAAGGCAGAAGATCACAACACCGGGGAATCCAAGGATCAGAAACCGCAAGCAGCAGATAAAAACGGAAAGGGAGGAAACAGTTCTGTTTACAATGAAACCATTGAGGCATTGGAACAAATTCTTCTCTCAGACAAAAGCAAAGGCTCCGACTCAAACTGCTTCGCCATTGTTCCTCAGAAAAAGAGCGGCGGAGTTAAGAGCCTCTGGAGAAAGCTGTTGGGGAGAAATAAGAAAGGTAAGAGCAAGAAGGTCCCTAATCCATTTGCCACCTAAGGAGATGGTTTCATCTAGACTATAATCTAATACCTTAATCCTGTTTCTTTATATGGTCCCAAACTATGCAAAGCAAACTGTCATTTTCTTAGATTTTTTTGGCAGTATATATAAATCTCCACGTAGAATATTACCCAATAAGATGATCTTTCTGTTTTATTTCACTTTTTGTCTCAGAAAAGATACAATCAGTAATCTTGACCCAATGAATCTTTAGCAGGGTTAATGTAAATCTTCAACGTAGACACCAAATGCAAAGATCATTTGATATAATGTCATCTCAGGTCTCAAAGAACAAACTGTCAATTTTGTGGCCTTTAAAAGGAATTTCTCAGTTTCTGTATAGAACAAACTTGGCGATGTCGTTAAGTCCAGCTTCCTTGTAGCATTGAGCAACCCGATCCAGTGATTCGTCCCATGTCCCTTCAAGTGATGCTAGATTCAGTAAGAACGCAGCCTCGTCCAAAGATGCCTGAGAATTACAAGTTTTCTTTCAAGCCCTTGTATCCAGAAACATGATATGAAAATCTGAAACATGAATAGTGAATACAGGGCAAAGAACAAACCTGAGCCATTGGCTTTCCCCTGTCTATATCCCGTTGTTTTCCTTCTCCTGTAACTCTCTCCTTATACTGCGCAATTTGCTCATCTCCCCACTCAGCTATCCGCGCAATTTCCTGGGCAAACATTCCATATGTTCAACACTTTTTGTCCCTTCTCTTTTTAATGAGACAATTACCAAAATTGTTTGTCGATAGTCAAGGAATTGTACCTCGTATCTATATCCTAAGGTCCACCACGAAGATTTCAAAGCACCCCTAGCTGCGTCTTTCGCTTCTAAGCTACGCCCAAGTCTACAAAACCATAGGGGTCTTAGAGTTTTCTAGAAAGGACAAAAGCATCTACCCATGGATATATTAATAAGTGGAAAGAGGGCTGTTGAGATAGGATCATACGAACTTCAACAAAACCTTTGCATTGAAAGCAAAAGGCCGGGCAAATCCGGGAAAGTTCCCTCTCTTTGTATAAAACTCGGTAGCCACCAAAGCTGAAACCTTGTATTAGCACGTGAAGATAGTTATAAAGAGAGAAAACAAGCCGACTACAACTAGATAGATGTTATTACTAGCCTTACATGGTCTCCATTCTCGATATGTCGAATAACTTTTCGTTCTAGAGAATCCGGAAACAGTCCAACCTGAATAACAAAGCTCATAATCATCCACATGCAGAAAAGATTCTGATATTAACAGGCTCAATATATGTACCTTTCTTAAAAGATAGGCATCTAAATCCATCAGTCTTGAACTGGCGAAGTCACCCTTACTGTAAAGTTTCAACCCAGCTTCACCTACAGCATTGAAGATTTCTTGACTGGATTCTTCGGGTTTAGAAACATCTTCTTCCACCAATATTCTGTGAATGAACTGATCAACCTGAATGTTGGCCAATGAAGTCAGATATGAGAATGAGCAGTCAATAAAAATGACCCTAAAACAAAAGCATCAGTAATGCTATAAAAAGACTCATTACATTATTGGCTAGAAACCAAACCCCATGTTTCTGAACTTCCACCACAGGCATCTCCATACTGCAAACACAAGAAACAATCGTAAGATATTAAAAGAAGAGAAGAAACATGACAATATAACAAGAGAAATGAGGCTCTAACCTAGGAGGAGCTGTTGGCCACCGTAGTAGAGCAATTGATGAACCTACAAAAATGAAAGATAGTCACACAAACTCACAGCACTGGCTTCAAAGACCTCAAGTGTTTTAAACTCAGATAAAAACTTAATCATACCTGGACTCATTCGCACCAACGGAATAGTAAGAGGTAACAAGCCTTCCTTGGCACCAGGAGAAACTATGGATTTACCTGATACAATGTCATTTACAAGCAAAAGTCAACATTTCCCCAAGTCACACACGATCAGCCAAGTGAGTGTAAGATTGAATTTACCTCTAGCTATGAATATGTTCAGCAGCTGCGTCAGATGCTTAGGAGGCTGAGCTTTTGCTATATCCTTGATGAAACATTCATGTTCTGCAAAACGAAAATACTCACATAATCAATTCAATAGTGTTTCAGTTCAAATTCAGCTTCATAAACATCAAAAACCGATCTCAAGCCATTTCCAGAAGTTGAAATTGAAACAGCGAAAATGTGAATACTGAATATTCTCACCAGATAATGGAGAAGAAGAAGAGCAAAAGGATCTGGAAAAGTTTCTGCCTACACGAAGAAGTATCAGTCCGCGTTTCCGTCCGTAAACCGCCGCGCCGCAATTCATCTTGGAAGTTTTTCCGATCGCCGTACTGTTTCTCTTCCGATGAGAAGAAACTTCGAAAAACTGTCACAAGAAAAAAAATAACACCTCCCAAAAATAAAGCCCAATAATTAGGGTTTAATAATAGCCCATTAAAGCCCAGCAACGTTCGTTTTGTTCGGTTAAAAATAGAACCAGTCTCGAGCAACGTGAAATTCCGGTAAACCGGAGATGTACTTTTCCCGATGTACAGTAGATAATTCAAATCGATCTGCCACGTCGCTATTTTCCCACCACCTTTTTTTTTTTTTTAATAATTAGAAAAAGTTTCTAATTTACACGCTTCCCAATTCGTCAACAACTGTTAATGACTTAATGTTCTTTAAAAGTTTTAGGAAATTTTATTTTTCTAATTGGAAAAAAAAAAAGAAAAAAAAATTGAAGATAATTTTAGGGTTTATAACGACCCGCCAAATTCCTTCTCTCCTTCAACATTTCAGATTTCGCGACCCGGATCTTGACCCGGACCCGCTTTTTCTTCGGTTCCGATCTGGTTTCTTGACAATGGCGTCAGAAGCTTCGCCTTCTTCTTCCGCGACCAGATCGGAGCCACCCAAAGACTCTACTACGGTAGGTCAATCGGTGAGGCATTGACTATGATTTGCTTTAGTTTGACTGAACAAAACGAAAATTGATGGCTTGGTTAAGCTTCTATAAGCTCGTTTTTGGATCTAGAGATTGCTACATTGTGAGCTATGAAGTTGTTTTAGGGTTCCATTTTGTTGAAAATGCGTTTGATTTGTCTGGAATTTCAGGCGGAGGAGGAGAGAGGTCCAGCTTCTAAGGAAGTATCAGAAGTAATAGAATCGCTAAAGAAGAAACTTGCAGCTGATAGGTGTATATCAATAAAGGTTGCTATTTTTGGTTCATTGTTTAGTTTTTTATTTGTATGTTTCTGAATCTGATTGTTAGAAAATTGATGTTTTTAACCAGAAAAGGATTGATGAAAACAATAAGAATTTGTGTGGTATTACTCAAAGCTTTATGAGGTCGTCAATGGAAAGAGGAGGTGGTTGTAAAGATGGTAGTAATCTTTTAGTTAAGAGGCAAAGAGATTCGCCTGGGATGAAAAGCGGAATCGATGAAAGTAGTAATAACCACAGATTCGTTGAAGATGGACCTGCCAATTCTGGAATGGTTCAAGGATCTAGTGTCCCTGTTAAAATTTCCTTACGCCCTATCAAAATGCCTGATATCAAACGGTTGTCACCTTATACCACATGGGTTTTTCTGGATAGGTACGTTGGCATTAACGTGGCAAGAGTACTTGAAAGTATTCATGTTGAAACGTTAGCCCTTTGCGGAGTATGTTAACATTATAATCGCTCTTGAAATGAATGCAGAAATCAAAGAATGACTGAAGACCAGTCTGTAGTGGGTCGAAGGAGAATTTATTATGATCAAACTGGCGGAGAAGCGCTCATCTGCAGTGATAGTGAAGAGGAGGCGATTGACGACGAAGAAGAAAAAAGAGATTTTTTGGAGCCTGAAGATTATATTATTCGGTTAGTATTAGATAAAGTAGCATCTGTCTAATCCTTCTTCATTGCTGTGTACTTGCATTTTGGTCTCTTAGTGTGAATCTCTTGTCTGCTATGATAACTGTTATGCTTTTTCGTTCTCACTTATATTGTTGGATTAAATTTCCCTTCATTTTTTCAGCATGACCCTTGAGCAACTAGGTCTTTCAGACTCCGTCCTGGAGGAACTAGCAAATTTCTTGTCTAGAAGTACTAGTGAAATCAAGGTATCAGCTACTTTTTCTCTGCCTATTGCTGGTATGAACTATCATGTTTTTCTTTAGAATCAAGAACTTCAATTGTAGGATTTCAAAACAGAGTGAGTGATGCATCGTTTAAGGAAATCCAATTAGTATTGTTCCAGCCCTTTCCCAATTGGCTTTTTGCAGAGATATGATCACCGACCATCTTATACAGGCAAGACATGGAGTGCTTATGAAGGAAAAAGAAGTATCCGAGAGTGGCGATAATCAAGCAGAGAGCTCCCTTCTCAACAAAGATATGGAAGGAGCATTAGATTCTTTCGATAACCTGTTTTGCCGTAGATGCCTTGTTAGTCCATTTGATTTCTCAGGCTAAATTTTCAAAGGTTATTACTTAATTTTTCAAAGTCTCTTTTTAACTTTTTGTATGTGTCTATGCAGGTATTTGATTGCCGGCTGCACGGGTGTTCACAGGATCTTATTTTTCCTGTAGGTTTAGTGCCAACTGAAAAATCTTATTATAACTTTATTGTTACTTATCTAATTTTGTGGATTTTTAGGCTGAGAAACCAGCTCCATGGTGTCCTCCTGTAGATGAAAATCTAACCTGTGGTGCAAACTGCTATAAAACGGTAAATTTGTTATTCGCGTTGCTAAGCTCATCTCCTAGAAAGACTGGTTTGACAAAAAGAATTGTTTTCATTTTATCAGCTTCTCAAGTCTGAAAGAATTCGGGGATATGGCACCATTGAAGATAAAACTGGCACTTCATCAGATGGTGCAGGTACTAAAACCACATCCAGCAAACTTAATGGGAGAAAACCCAAGACCTTCCCAAGTGAAAGTGCATCGTCTAATGAAAAGTGCACACCAGAAACAAGTGACTCAGAGAACGGACTACAGCAGGATACCAATTCCGATAAAGTTTCATCATCGCCAAAGGTGAAAGGTAGTGGGAGACGTGGAGGTCGTAAGAGGAACAACAACCGAGTCGCTGAGCGAGTTCCTCGTAAGACTCAGAAGAGGCAGAAGAAGACAGAAGCCTCAGATAGTGATTCCATCGCCAGTGGAAGCTGTTCACCGAGCAATGCAAAACATAAAGATAATGAAGATGCTACTTCCTCTTCTCAGAAGCATGTGAAATCTGGGAACTCTGGGAAGTCAAGGAAGAATGGCACTCCTGCAGAAGACTCCAAGAATCCTGTGAAGGATGACGATCCTGTTTGCCAGTCAGATAAGATTACGTCTGAGCTTGATGCACCGTGTAGTGATGAAAGTCTAAGGAAAGAAGAGTTTGTGGGTGAAAATGTATGTCGAGCAAGATTGGCTACAAATAAATTGTGGAGACCACTTGAGAAAAGCCTTTTTGATAAAGGTGTTGAGATTTTTGGAATGAATAGGTGAGTAATAAGATGTCTTTAGCTACTGCTAAATTATCATTCCGCTTCAGGTTTTTCAATTTGTGGAATATAGTCATATCGATTCTTTGTTTCTTTGCAGCTGCTTGATTGCTAGAAACCTTTTGAGTGGTTTCAAGTCATGTTGGGAGGTCTTCCAATACATGACTTGCTCGGAAAATAAAGCTTCCTTCTTTGGAGGTGATGCATTGAATCCTGATGGCTCTTCCAAGTTCGATATCAATGGAAATATGGTATATTAACACTAAATCTTTTTTTTTTACAAATTCCTGATAAAATTGATTTATTTCTCTTGGGAACTAATGCTTTAGTTTCTGGACTAACTAGGTTAATAACCAAGTGAGGAGAAGGTCAAGATTTCTACGTAGGAGAGGCAAAGTGCGTCGCTTGAAGTATACTTGGAAGTCTGCTGCATATCATTCAATTAGGAAAAGAATTACTGAGAGGAAAGACCAGCCCTGCCGTCAGTTTAATCCATGCAACTGCAAAATTGCTTGTGGGAAGGAATGTCCTTGTTTGCTAAACGGGACTTGCTGCGAGAAGTACTGCGGGTAATGTAATCTATGATCATCCACATTTGTATTTCTTATATTTAATCTCATTACCAACAAACTATATTTTCTGTGCAGTTGCCCAAAGAGCTGCAAGAATAGGTTTAGAGGTTGTCATTGTGCCAAAAGTCAGTGTCGAAGCCGTCAATGTCCATGCTTTGCTGCAGATCGGGAATGTGACCCAGATGTTTGTAGGAACTGCTGGGTCATGTAAGTCTTATTGGCGACGCAAATGCATCTTAATTGGTCGCTTAGAAAAGGATCAAGAAATGCTACTTTTTTTTAATAGTTCCAGATGCACTTATACTGTTTCTGAATGAATTTGAATGTGTAGTGGTGGGGATGGTTCGCTTGGGGTCCCAAGCCAAAGAGGCGATAATTATGAGTGCAGGAATATGAAATTGCTCCTGAAACAACAACAAAGGGTATAATACTTGGCCTTGTTAACTAAATATCTATTATCTGCAATCAAATGATTAAAGATGAAATTGCTAAGTTTGCTTCCTTTTTTTTTTTAATGTTAATTTCAGGTTTTACTTGGAATATCTGATGTTTCTGGTTGGGGAGCTTTCTTAAAGGTATAGTAGATGCAAGATTTGTTGAAAAGAATTTTGAAGTCCTTAAAAGATGAAACTATGTTTGGAGTCTGGGCTTGCCTTAAGAACAATTCTTGTTCCTTCTTACAGAACAGTGTAAGTAAGCATGAATACCTTGGGGAATACACAGGAGAGCTGATCTCACATAAAGAAGCAGATAAACGCGGGAAGATATATGATCGCGAGAACTCCTCTTTTCTCTTCAATCTAAACGATCAGGCACGTCTCAGCTTTAAAATGTCCCCAACTCTCTTTCTCTCTAGGTTGTCAATTTAAAAAACTTTTTTGGATTTGGCTGCAGTTTGTGCTTGATGCTTACAGGAAAGGAGACAAACTTAAATTTGCCAACCATTCTCCTGAACCTAACTGTTACGCAAAGGTAATAATAATGCAAGTTAAAGACACGGTTCACGCATGATGGGTTTGTTCTGTTTTTCCTCAAAATCTAACTAGATGATTTTGTATCTGTTCAAGGTCATTATGGTTGCTGGAGATCACAGGGTGGGGATCTTCGCAAAAGAGAGGATACTGGCTGGAGAAGAACTATTTTACGATTACCGGTATGAGCCAGATCGAGCTCCAGCTTGGGCCAAAAAACCTGAAGCTCCGGGTTCGAAGAAAGACGAAAATGTTACACCTTCTGTTGGTAGACCCAAGAAGCTTGCTTAGCAACAAAAGAAACAACAATTTTTTGTCAATTCTTTGATTACAGGTGGAAGAACGCATTAATCCTCATTCACACGGAAGAACACATTGAATCAAATTCATACATTTTGCTGAGTCTAAAGAAAAGTTGTATTCGTTGGATTAAAAATTTACTTTTTTGTTTTCATGACAAGTGAGTACATTTCTGGATTATCATTGTACTGTACTGAGACTCCGGTTCGGGTTTTCAAATTACGGTGTGATTAGAAAGCCATAAAACTCAAATCAGAAACGAACATGAGCCAAATTAAAATGTACATTGACGCATAAACCTAAAGCTTTTACACAATATTTGCGGTAACAATATATAAATGCATCTAGTCTACTTTCTCTTTGAAGGGTCCATCTTCATGCAACAGTTTGATGACAAAATCCACCTGCGATGTTCAAAGTTACATTGTTTAAGGCGACGATCCATTTACGTACCTATGTTTATTTACTCTTTTAACACCATAACTACAAAACGTACCTGATTTGATTCTCGCACTAAAAACTCGTCTATGGCTTGCTTGAAACCTTCATCGAATATATAATGGCAACTATATGTTTTAACGGGAAGGTAGCCTCGTTGAATCTTATGCTCGCCCTGAGCTCCAGCTTCCACCGTTTTCAGATTAAGCTCTATTGCTGCTTCAATTGCCTGTGACCATCATTGTACATATAACCTTCACAATCATATATTTTAATGAAACATATCAATTTTGTTGGTTTGAGTCCTATTATGGATTTTTCCATGTAAAATATGGTCCTATACTGAAACTTTAAGACTTTGTAACAACAAGACCAACCTGGTAATAGCACGCTTCAAAATGGAGACTAGGATAATAGGAATCAGGACGACATCCCCATAGTCTCCCAAATAGAGTATCTCCTCCAATAAGATTCAATGCTCCTGCAACAGGTTCCTCGTTTTCTTCAGCAAGAACAAGCAATACCTTGTCTCCTAACTTCGATGCCATGTCGTGAAAGAACTCCCTTGTGAGATAAGGTGTGCCCCATCTACAATTAGCCGGAATACGTTAAGCATGTGAAAGTACAAGCACATGTATTATCAGAATTACGATGTACAGGTGCAAAACACTTGACAGATAATAAGAAAACAAAAATTGTCTCAATTATATGGACTAAACTTGTTATCAGTTGTGTTCCTGTAGAAGTCATAGAAGGAATCCCAATGCCTAGCCTGCAAAAACATAAGGAACAAAAGATGAATTGAAAATTTGATTGATTTAGGCTAAATACAGTTAAATTTTCAAGACTTTTAGCATGTTCCATCAATTCTAACACTGGTAGTAGATTGAGATCCTAAAGTTGAATATAGCCATTAAAATGAAAAGACCTCGAGAAATAATCAATTACAAAAAAAAAATTGTGTCATCTCGTGGCAGTCCAGTTTCGTACCTTTATTTCATCTCCTTGTAGCCGTCTCATTTTCAAATTTTGGGTACCAATCTACTAGAGAAAAGGAGCATTAGAAGTCAGCAGCGTTCTTGAAAAACGCCACAAGGAACGGATAATGAAATAAGGCTACAATTCAAAAGTTGTATGGGAAGAACCAAAGAATAACCATTCCATTTAACTATCAAAGAACTTTAGAGAAAATGGATAAATCTCAACTATACGCACAATAAGGATTATATGAAAACAGGAAAAATAAACAAACCTTTTTACGTTCCTGCCGGATATTTTTCCTTTTGCTTTGCTTCATGTCCATCAAGAACTCATCAAAACTAAAGCATTAAAGATTAATAGTTGACATCAGTCATTGACTTTTTAAGTGAGCAAAGTTGGAAGTCAGCAGATATGACCAGATAGAAACCAATGTATTACTATTAGCAACCAAATCCAATCAAAGGCATCAATTGCTTAAAGATATAATTCAAGGGTTTCAAATGTTAGTCGTATAATCAAACCATCAACATATTCCACACAAATTGTAAGCTATGACATTTAGTTGTTAGGAATGTTAAGAACATATACCTAAACTGTTAGACAACAATGTTTTAAGTTGAAGAAAGTATCTACACAGGTGAATCCTATGACTAGAAGTCTAGAAGTAGTTTTTTTTTTTTTCAATCAAATAATAACAATAAACAAAATATAAAAGCAACAACTATAACTAGTCCAGACAATCCAGGCATTGAAACTTCAATTACTTTTTATAGTCACGATTTTGCCAGTGATACTGCATTCCAATCCTCTGTGAGAATCCTTTCTCCTTCAATTTGTTCCACTCAACTCCAGAAGGAAATGTAATGTGCAAAGATGAAACTCGTAACTGCCAAAGCGCACAGAATAAAGCTAATCTGTCAGCAGATAGCATATGTTGAAACCCAGAACTCAATGCAAGATAACCATTACAGCTCAAAGAAGGTAAAATGTGAGATTGTTCCTACAGTATTAAAGATAGCTAGCACACAGAAAAAAAAAACAGTTCTGTATACCATGAGATCACAAGTTTATTCATGTTATCAAACTCAACATGTTCCTAGTATTGTTTTCATCTACAATACAACACATTTCATAATAATAACATACCTTTGCTGCCAGTTCTGTCATGGCCGAAACAATAGCATCAAAAACTTGGTCTTTGAAGGGATTATTACGGATTAGAATCCTAGGGCCGGTAACTGGGGTGAAAGGAACACAACACTGAAGTTTAGGATAATATCTTCCACCAAAACTCCGGTATGCATCAGCCCAAGAGTGATCAAAAACAAATTCGCCGTACGAATGGCTTTTGAGATAAAGTGGAACAACGCCCAAAATACACTCAGATTCATCCTTTGCAACAATATGCAATGGCATCCAACCTGTTTCCTACAACACATTTGCATATAGAAATTCCCATAAGAATGCCAAACATCAACGCTTCTTTCGATTGAAATTGTTTTACTAACCCGGACGGCACATCCCGTCTCTTCTAAACTAGAAAGAAATCCATAACTTAGAAATGGATTATAGCTTTCAGGTTGAGAAGAATCCAAAGCACATGCATCCCATTCAGCTTGTGGTATCTCTAATATTGAAGAAACAACTGAAAGTGAAATCACATTTCCCCTTGGCTGATCCGAAGCTTCCTAAACTCGAAGCGAATTCACTATTAGCCATAGAGAAGTGATGATTTATCAAACTAGAATCAACAATGGAGACTGAAATACCTCAAAGTCTGATCCAGTTAGAGTGTAATCCCTAAGTGATATATCGAATTCCCGTACTTCCGCCGGTTTATTAGACTTCCAAAACATAGCAGTAATCGTCGATGATCGTCTTGAACTCCTAACATTTCCTTTCTTCCACAAATTTCCCTACAGAGAGATGATGATGAGATTGAAGTATCTGATTCCAAAAGTCTAATTGCACAGACACGAATTCGCAAGAGTAAGCCATAGCTAATCTAACAGAGTAAGACATCGAATGAATTAGAAGAAAAACTCACGCAGCGACGATGGAATCGACGAAGAGGAGGCGAAGGTTTGCAGTAGGAAAGTACAACGGCCATGGACGAACCAAAAGATAAAGATGAGACTGGTTACGCGTCTGTGTGTTTAAAGAGGATCGGAAAAGAGTCCCGACGTGCACGGCGGCGACGACGGCGATCAAGTGGAATCACAGTGGTCGCTGATGATTTCGAATTTGGGCTTTTGCTTCGTGACGTGTCAATTTTGGGGTCTTCAGTTATTTTTGTGTTGTCGATAAGGTGGGCTTATTGATTTGACAGTTAGGCCCATTTAAGTGAGTGAATATGGACGTTTGAAAGCCCAAACTATTTCTCGCAAAGAGTGGAATTAGGTTTTGAGAATATTAAAGTTTCTTGTATAGCAAGATATTGGTTTTAGTGACAAACTGATACATGCGTAGAAGGAGAAAGAAACACATCACTGGGTTTATTCGATTTTACAGACTTAAATTACAATGATACATGAAACAAATAGCAACTAGTTTGATAGATATTACAGATGAAGTGGACATAATAAAGCGGATCAGAGGATCAAATCCGACAACCAAATCGTCTTTCCCTGCGTTGATACGAAGCGAGAGCCTCTAGAAGCTTATCCTTATCGAAATCAGGCCAGAGGACCGGCGAGAAGAAAAGCTCGGTATAAGCAAGTTGCCACAAGAAGAAGTTACTAATCCTCTGTTCTCCACTTGTCCTAATCATTAAATCAGGACTTGGGAAGTCAGTACAATTCGTCAGAAGCTCTCTCTCGATCAATGCCTCGTCAACGTCTTGCTCTCGGATCAGCCCTTTCTCTGATTTCTTCACAAGACTCTTGCAAGCGTGCATGATATCGAATCTCCCGCTGTAATCTATTGCCATGATGAGATGCTTATTCTTGTAGCCTTTTGTAGTTTCCTCTATCTCATGGATTCTTTGGAGGATAGGTTCAGGGATATTTGTTTGATTCCCGATAACAGAAACGCGAATTTCGTTTCTGAAACAACAAGATCATTCTTGGTAACAAATGAACAGACCATATATATGACCAAAAACAAAAGAAGCTCAATGGAATTTGTATTTATACCTGTGGAAGTATTGGATGTTGGACTTGAGTTGGTGTTGGAATAAAGACATAAGCCACTTAACCTCATCCTTATATAATAACAACAAAATTTTGTTAGTCTATAATTGTTTGAGAATATAAGCTACTTGTGTCTAAAATGTCACACCTCGTCTCTTCCCCAATTCCCTGTGGAGAAAGCAAAAGCTGAGACTGTATGAATCCCGAGTTCGAAGCAGAGCTCGGCGATCTCTATAAACCGTATAGCTCCGGCCTGGTGGCCTTGTTCCGTCAGCAATCCGTGTTGTTTGGCCCATCTCCGGTTCCCATCCAGTATGAGTGCCACGTGCCTCGGCATCAGCTCTCTTTGTAGTTCCTCCTCTCTGACAACACAAGTTCCCTCATCAGTACTACACAAGCACAAAAGGTAGAGCTAAGTTATAAAGATTTAGCTTTAATTAGATTTTAATGTTTTGTCCTCGTTTATTTCTTTTAACAAGACCAGAGAATATGGTGATTGCGAAAAGCTCTGTTTCTTGGAGCTAAAGTCTCTCCTATATGCGAAAATCTTAAGCGCACGTTAGAACTAAATTTTGTTAAATCCATTTAGTAAGTATTGTTGTGTACATTTTATTAATATTTTCCCCGCTGATTGAAATTAATTATAACAAATTGAAATTAAACTACGATTCTCTTCTTGGGAGAAATTCAAAAATATCATTTATATGTTGTCACTCTTATTCAAAAATATCACAAAATATATATTTACAAACTTTTATAAAACATGTTACAAATTTTTTATGTAACATGCCTGGACATAAATTGTTTATAGAAGTTTACGTGGATATAATTAAAGATAGACATATGATAGAAAAAAAAAAAAGTGTAACCCTAGCTAGCAGGAAGGTTTATGAAAAGTTTGAAAATTTGAGTTAAGAGACTAAACATACTAAGACTAAAAGTATGAATAATTAGAAGACGCAAACTACCGTTTCTCGTTCTCATGATCGTCTCGAGCGGCTTTGAATTTGCTGAGTCCGAGGAGTTTTGGCAAGAATACAGGGAACCATTTATAAATTGTGATAAAACAAGGGATGAGAATAAGAAAGAGGAGGGATAATAGAGAAGAGATAAGAGAGAACATTGTTGTGATTGCTTACGCTTAGTTTGGCTTTGCCTCAATGTTTGTTCGAGTTATAATTGAAGCTTTCTCATATACATGTATATATATTAAGAATTCAAAGACATCGCTTGATCAGTTAAACTACGCAAAGACAGGTGGTCTAACGTATTGAACTCTTCTTTGGAGAAACTTTAATATTAGTTAATCGAAGTTTTGTAACGGTTTATCAACTTTTTTCCAGCTGTACTAGGGCTTTGAGAACCCACGTGATTGGTTTCTTATGTCACAAGACTTTGATGAGTCCCAATAATTTTAGAGAGATTAAACTCTGTTTTTTTGCCAATTTAGAGTCGTCTGATTTGTGTCTGTCTTTTTATCGGTTTTTAACCATTATTTTTATTTTTGTTTTGAGTCTTTTATTAAGTCAAAGTGTGTCTTTTAGTCTTTTATCGAATCTTTACAGATTTTAGGTAATTTTGAAGGAGAAAGAGCCGTTTTAGGATGTAAACACGCATTTGGAAATGCAGGATCATGGAGAAATGTCAGAAGTTTGGCTTCAGATGGAGGATATCCCAAGGTTAGATCTCCTCATATTTTGACAAAAAAATAATATGAGGATCTTAATTAGCTTTCATTTCCATGTTATTAATTGAAGGCAACCTAATGGTGCAATAAACAATTATGGTTGATCTATAAACGATAGGTCAAGCTGCCAAGATGAAGCTAATGTGGAAACTGATCAAGAGAGTCAAGACCAATCGGTACACATCTGGGACCGATCGGTCCAACTTCAGACTAGATTTTAAAGTTTCCAAAACAACCCAATCTTTTTTGATGTAGTTTTAAATAGTAATAGAACTACAATTTAGCAAATATTAAAGTTTCTTGTGTAGCAAGATATTGGGTTTAGTAACAACTGATACATATACGGCAAAGCAAGGAGAAAGAAAGAAACACATCAATTTATTCGATTAAAGAAACAAATTACAATGATACCTAAAACAAAGAGCAAGTAGTTGATAGAAGTTACACATGAACAGAAAGGATGAAATGTGGATCAAACACGACAGCCAAATCGTCTTTCCCTGCGCTGATACGAATCCAGAGCCTCTAGAAGCTTATCCTTATCGAAATCAGGCCAAAGGACGGGCGAGAAGAAGAGCTCGGTATAAGCAAGTTGCCACAAGAAGAAGTTACTAATCCTCTGTTCTCCACTTGTCCTAATCATTAAATCAGGACTTGGGAAGTCACTACAATTGGTCAGAAGCTCTCTCTCAATTAATTCCTCGTCTACGTCTTCCTCTCGGATCAACCCTTTCTCTGCTTTCTTCACAAGACTCTTGCAAGCATGCGTGATATCGAATTTCCCGCTGTAATCTACTGCCAAGATGAGATGCTTATTCTTGTAGCCTTTCGTAGCTTCCTCTATCTCATGGATTTCTTGGAGGAGAGGTTCAGATATCTTCGTTTTATTCCCGATAACAGAAACGCGAATTTCCGATCTGAAACAACAAGATCTTGGTAATAAATGAACAGACCAATATGTTAAAAAACAAAAAAAAAGATTCAATCTAATTGTGTTTATACCTATGGAAGAATCCGATGTCGAACTTGCGGTAGTGTTGGATCAAAGACATTAAGTTATCAACTTCAATCTTAATAATAACAACAAAATTGTTAGAATCGATAATTGTATGAGAATGTAAGCTACATACTTTTTCCAAAATGTCACACCTTGTCTCTTCCCCAATTCTCTGTGGAGAAAACAAAAGCTGAGACTGTATGAATCCCCAACTCGAAGCAGAGCTCGGCGATTTCTACAAGCCGTTTAGCTCCGGCCTCGTGGCCTTGTTGCGTCGTCAATCCGGCCCGTTTGGCCCATCTCCGGTTCCCATCCAGGATAAATGCCACATGCCTCGGCATCAGCTCTCTTTGTAACTCATACTCTCGGACAACAAAAGTTCCCTCATCACTACACAAACACAAAAGCTAAAATTAAGTTATGATCCAACTAAGTATGAAATTTGAGTTAAGAAGTTAAACATATAACTACTAAAAACTAAAAGTATGATTAGAAAACCGTTTCTTGTTGTCACCATCGTCTCGAGCAGCGTTGATTTTGATGAGTCTGATGATAAAGAGACAAGGGATGAGAAACAGAAAGAGGAGTGATAATAGAGAAGACTCGGAAAAGAGAAGAGACAACATTGTTGTGAGAACTTAATTTGGCTTTGCCTCGATGTTTGTTCGAGTTATTGAAGCTTTTTCATATACAGTATTTATTAAGAATTCAAAGACATCGCTTGATCAATCAAAAACTACGCAAAGACAGGTCATACATATTAATTAAACTTTTTCTTGAAGAAACATTAATATTAGTTAATCCATGTTTTGTAACCTAGGGTTTATCTATCTTTTTCCAGCTGCACTAGAGCTTTGAGAACTCACGTGATTGGTTTCTTGTGTCAAAGACTTTGATGAGTCCTGATAGTTGTTTTGCCAATTTCGAGTCTGGTTAAAAATATTTTGACCTCAAGGTCTTTAAATACACAAAGAAAATGTGTTGATAAGAAGAATCCAAAACACATGCATCCCAATTCATCAGCTATTCAGCTTGTTGGTATCTCTGTATTGAACAAAAGAAATACCACTATTTGCAGAAAAAAAAAATAAGGAAACAGAATGAATACTTTAGTTTTGTATTGTTAGATGATGTATTAAAAATGTATTAAAAGTTTTGGTACTTTCAAGTTTTTATATGTATGAACTATGAAGTCTTAAGTTCTAGTTTTAACATTTAAGTGTTTTTAGAATTTTACTCAAAGCACTAATTTGATTGAGAACCAACATTTATCATGGCATAAAATAAGACAATGAAACTTTTTTTCTTGTTCGATGTGCCTTCAAAAGCCAAGTAAATACCAACTGATGTTTTAGTCGATATTTTATGCATTTTATATTTGAAATAAAATTTTCGCTTCAATGAAAATTTGAAATTTTAAAAAATTTAAACAATTATAAATTATTTTGTATATTAAATGCAAATTATTATTACCAATATCAATATGTGTATCGAAACTTTAAACTACACTTACAATTTGAGGAAGTGTAGAATATAAATCTAGAGTGTTTTTTTTTATAAATTGAGGAAGTATAGAAGAATTGAGGAAGTCTATTTCATAAATTTCAAATATACGTGTGGTTCAAACCTAATTTCTTAAAAGAATTCTTTCGGACGTGACAATTCCCATAATCAAATAGCCACGAAAATTAACACTAGTCATTAATCTAAATGAGAAATAATTAAAAAACCAATAAAGGCTTATAAGAAGACTAGGTCAAAGTTCAAAACATGTTTTGCATTTTGAGTGGTTGTCGTCACTTTTAAAGTTTTTCTTTTTCTTTTGCCTTTGACCACTCCGATAGACACAACAAAAGCCAGTGTTCCTCGTCCATTCACGCTCTCGTAATCACACACACTCATACACAAACGAAAGCCAATTGTTCCACACAAATTGGAAACGACGACAATGGAGAACGGCTCAGAATTGGGTCAGATCATTGATGGACCAACCAATCCAATGGTCACACCTTTACTCAATGATCTCTACCAATTCACCATGGCTTATGCTTATTGGAAAGCTGGCAAACACAACGAACGATCCGTGTAAACACAACAATTCTTCTTCATGCTCTGTTTTTTGAGATTGTATATTTGAAATTGATTGTTTCTTTGTTTTGTTTTCAGTTTCGATCTGTATTTTCGTAAGAACCCATTTGGTGGTGAATATACTGTGTTTGCTGGATTAGAAGAGTGTATTAAGTTCTTAGCCAATTTCAAATTGAGTGATGAAGAAATCGATTTCGTTCGTGATTGTTTGCCTGGATCTGAGGTATAATCAAAAAACCGTTACTTTGATTCGGTTAAAGTTTAGATTTTTAAATGTGGGTTCTTTGTTTGTGATTCAAATTAGGAAGCTTTTGGTGATTATCTTAGAGGGCTTGATTGTTCTGATGTTGAGGTTTATGCGATTCCGGAAGGATCAGTTGTTTTTCCCAAAGTACCTCTTATGAGAGTTGAAGGACCTGTTGGTGTGAGTCTCTCTCTCTTTCTTTAACTCTCTTTGAATGTGAAAGAACAGTTTCTTGAATGAATGATTCATTGATTGTTGTAAAATGAATAGGTTGTTCAATTGTTGGAAACTCCATTCCTCAATCTTGTCAATTTTGCATCTTTGGTAGCTACTAACGCAGCTAGGCATCGGTTTGTTGCTGGAAAATCTAAGAGTCTACTCGAGTTTGGTGCTCGAAGGGCTCAGGTTTCTCTCTTGTTTTTGGATATATACTTTTTGTGTTGTTCTTTCCATGTCTGTCTGATGTTCTTAGTTTTGGAATCTTTAGGGACCGGATGGTGCGATAAGCGCATCGAAATATTGCTACCTTGGAGGTTTTGACGCAACGAGGCAAGTCTTGCTTTTTGTTGTTTATCCTGGAGATAGTTGAAAGGGAATGTAGGAATGATATGGTTTTGTGTTGTTTTGTATTTTACCAATGGCAGTAATGTAGCAGCTGGAAAACTTTTTGGGATACCTCTCCGTGGAACACACTCCCATGCTTATGTTAGCTCATTCATGGTCAGTTCACTTCAGCCAAAAGTTTCAATTTTTATGTTGGAGAAGTCATATAATTTTAGCAGAATATTACTATATTGCTAAGCTCATAACAATACATACTTGAGTTAGCTAGTAGAGGCGATAACACAAAGTTTCGTTAGAATAAGATGTTCTTGTCAATGCCTTTGTTGCTATAACTTTATTAGCCATGGTTTATATCAATATCACAGAAGAAATTTCAATTTCATTACCTTAACTTTGGATTGCAGAGCACTGATGAGATTGTTGACAAAGTACTTCGCAGTGCTGATGGGAAAACCACGTGCGAGGATTTTGTCAGTCATGTTCAGACATGGTTAAAAAAGATTCAGGTTTGGTAGTGCAATCTAGATTTTGCTCTTCATCTGCCTCTTTTCTAGTCTCAGGACCATTGTTCTATTTCTGCTTCAACCCTTTGAATCTTTGTCACAGTATTCACCATCTCTAAGTGGCATTTTCTCTGAGACAAATCAAAGCGAGCTAGCAGCTTTCACCTCATATGCGCTGGCATTCCCCAAAACTTTTCTTGCCCTCGTAGATACATACGATGTGAGCATTAAACACCATAGTAGATAGCTCATTTGAGCCTTAAGATTTCTAATAAACTGTTGTATTAGTGTTTTGCCGACTGTTTTTACAGGTGATGAAGAGTGGAATCCCTAACTTCTGTGCAGTTGCTTTAGCACTCAATGACTTTGGGTATGTAAGAATCTCTTATCAATACCCGATCGTTTGGCTTGAATCTTAAGGATTTAGTGACTTTGTACTTCTTCGGGATCATACGGAATTTGAGATGCAATTGATGTTTGTTGTGCTGTGCAGATATAAAGCATTAGGTATTAGACTGGATTCAGGTGATTTAGCTTATCTATCTAGAGAGGCTAGAAATTTCTTCTGCACGGTAGAGAGAGAACTAAAAGTGCCCGGTTTTGGGAAGATGGTCGTCACCGCTAGTAATGATCTTAATGAAGAGACGATTGACGCTTTAAATAAACAGGTGATTCTCTAACCCCACTCTCAAATGCCATGCCTCCATAAGGTCGATTTTTTAAGCAGCTTTTTTTTTCATCTTTATAGGGACATGAGGTGGATGCTTTTGGCATCGGGACCTACTTAGTCACTTGCTATTCGCAAGCGGCTTTAGGTTGTGTTTTTAAACTTGTGGAGATAAACAATCAGCCTCGGATTAAACTTTCTGAAGATGTTACAAAGGTTAAAACTCCCTCTCTCTTGGGTTTCTGAACATTCAATGTCATATTGCACTTAATCTAATTATCATTCTGATTTTTTAGGTATCGATACCGTGTAAAAAGAGAAGTTACAGATTATACGGGAAAGAAGGTTACCCTCTGGTGGATATAATGACTGGAGAGAACGAACCACCTCCAAAGGTAAAACGAAAGATAATTCTCTCAAAGGTATTAATTGCATTTTACATGATATATTTCTTGATTTCAAAGGTTGGTGAGCGTTTACTATGTCGTCACCCATTCAATGAATCCAAAAGAGCATATGTAGTGCCACAACGTGTCGAAGAGCTCCTCAAATGTTATTGGCGTGGAAGTGCAGGTAAATATTTTTCAGTACTGTAAAAGTTATAATGACATTGCTTTTAACTGCTTATTGCTTCTCTCTGCCAATGAAGATGAAGCAAGAGAAGAATTACCGCCTTTGAAAGAGATAAGAGAACGTTGCATCAAACAGCTCGAAAACATGCGACCCGATCATATGAGGAGATTAAACCCAACTCCTTATAAGGTATGGTTTTCTCCTACAAACATGTTTTTCGGTTTTCTAAGTTAATGTTTTTTCCTCGGTTACAGGTTAGTGTCAGCGCGAAGCTGTACGATTTCATCCACTTCTTATGGCTCAACGAAGCACCTGTTGGTGAATTGCAGTGACAGAACAAACATAAAAGAAGAATCTGGTTTTGGTTTTGAGTAATGTATATAGATTTATATACCACAACATCACAAATATTCATTTCTTTCACTAAGTTTCATTTCTTAGAACATTTTGATGATCTTCTTACTGAGGAAAGAAACTCTCTGCGTTCATTGGAACTTTGTTTACAAAATTACAACTGATTCAATAAGATTATATTTACCGCTGTAAACATACTAGAAACTGTAAAATTTATTACTCAAGTCAAGGATTTTGGATCAGATATATTTTGTACTTCTTCTGTCTCATACGTAAAGTAGTACATTGTTCGATCAATTTGTGGTTAACACCGGTTCCGTGGATCAGGTTTAGTTTTCATAATACGGCGTAGTTGAACTCAAATTTGCGGCTTACTGTTGCAACCAGATTGGTAAGCAGTTAATCAAGTTTTTCTAGTAGAGATTTGATGAACATAACCCTTGTTCAAAAAATTCGTTAGGCACTAGTCTAGCGTTCGGGGTGGCCTAGCGACTAACCAAATATTCAAAATTCATTTCTGCAAAGATTGAATCAATGGCTAAGAACTGATGACCCAGAAGAATATATATATAATAAAATGGTACCAAAAAGCAAACGATATGGAATATGGGGAAAGCACTATTGAACGGAAAATCACTTAACAAGAATACAAGATGAGTAAAAATGACAAGACGACACTCCATCCAAATTGAGGTTAGAAACAAGTGATAGTTTTGTTCTTATACAACACAGTTATACAAGTGTAATTTTGAATTCTTATGGTCTCCAAAATAGCCATGGCTTGGAGGGCAGGGCACTCAATAAGTTTTTCTTGGATGAAAGTTAAAATTTGTTGATAGAAAAGAAACACATTTTTTTACTTTTTTTTGTAATGACTAAGAAATTCTGGGCATACATTTGCTCAGACCAAAGACCCGAGCATTTTATATGGTCCCTTCTTAAGTGTCATTCGAACGGGTGACCTCTAAGCTTTGTCTGAAAGTCTTTACCAGTTGAACTATTGACACTTGTATAAAATAAACGCATATGATATACATAAAAATGGTGCAGACCAAATACATTTTTTTGTGACTCCTTCCGTATTTTCAAAACAACAATTCCTTAGTGAAAATTAATAGATTGAGAGATATATAACATTTACTCTAAAAACAAGAGAGTAAAATATCCCTCAATGAATTTTTTTTTTGCTGGTTCGAATCCCTCGTTTAACCCGTTTGTGATCTGAATCAAGCTTACATATACAAAATGGTCCATGAGAGAGTTTGGTTTAGACGATTTTTACCCAAATGGTCCATGAAAGAGTTTTGTTTCCAAGTCTTCGGATAATTTGTCTAGTTACAAAATGGTCCTGCATCATTTGTTGCATCATTTGGAATAATGTATTTATGGCATTATCTCAAATTTCTCTAACCATTGGGCCAGCACAATATGACCCTTTACAGATCTAAATTGTGTTTTTATTATTATTAAATTTTGTAACGTTGATGGAATGTTTATGATTTGTTATTATTCAATAAACTTAAAGAATAGCAGAATTATCATATTGAAATTCTAATTGGTCGAGCTCAATCAATTCAATTGTGCATGACATCAGTTGGTGTGGTTGATATGGTTGGTACAGTTTAGTTCAACAAAAAACTGCAGTGAAATTGTCGATTAGTTGTTTAAAGTGAGATTAACTAATTTCATAGTACTACCTTTTTTTATGCATATTAAACGTTGTAATAACTATTTCTTTTTGAACCGTCTGTTATCACTTGCAATCGCAAATATTTGCGAAAATGAACTTTTGGAATTTAACGATTTCGAGCAAAACGGTATAAAACGATTTATGTGATTGGTTTTAAACATTACCAACCACAACTACCTGTAAACGTAACATTTGCAAGTGATTGCGGGAAAACCAATCAATCCTAAACTAAATTAGAAAATCTTTTTTAAGCGTTTGGGGGAGTTTGGAAACGCACCAAAACGACAAAAACGCATAGAGAGTTTTAAGCTGAATATTAAAATTGAGAGGACAGAAAATGAGTGTGGGGATAGAAATTTATTATTATTGTCCACAAAAACAAAACAAAAAAAATGTACTAAGAATATGCTAAAGATTCGAAGACGAGGTAAAAGTAGAGGCTAAAAGACACGACTTTTCTGGGCTCTAAATCTGTTAGAAACTCAAAAAGCTTCTTCTTTTTCTGTGCAATTTAGTACTTCTAAAAACATTCTTCTACAAATCTTCTATTTCGAAATTAACAAAATAAAATAAAAATTAACTTATTCTCTGAAAATTAAAATCTAAAAAAGTTAAATAAAAACATAAACTTCTTCTTCTTCACTCTAACTTTATCCATTCGTAACGTCCTTCTAATGGCTTCTCATTCTCAAAATCGAAATTGTACCTAATTCAAAAAAATAAATCAAACTCACTCTTAATTTAACTCAAAAACAATTTTAAATTATGGATTATAAATCAAACTTCTTATTGATTTACAAAAAAAAAAACTTACTTCTTCTTGAATTTTTCATTGATCTGTTTCTCAGCTTCCACAAAAAAATCTTCAATTTCCGATTCCGTTGGCATCTCCGTCGTCGATTTCGCCATCTCCTCCTCCGTCGTCGCCGTCTCCTCCCTCGTTATTCTCCCGCTACAACAACAATCTACCGATTCTTTAACCGCCGATTCAAATTCCGATGAATAATTCTCCATAGATTTACTTAATTCTTCTTTCTCCTCCTCTCTAATATTTTCAAAAAGCTTCCTCTTCGTTCTCCTAAATAATTCACAATTCTAAATTTATTGAGGAGAGAGTCCAAATAAATAACCGGGAAAATAATAAAACCTTCAAAATTCAAATGATTTTCAGTTTTATTTTTTAAAAACTCTCTCACCGTTGATACGTCGACGTTTCAGTGTCACCATCTTTATCTTCCTCCTACAAAAAAAAAAATTCAAATTTTCAAAAAAAAAAACATTAAATGATATATCTACAGTTACAAGAATCTAGAATCAACAACATTAAATAACCTCCAGATCTATAAATTCATTGTTCTTATATTCATTGCTTCCACAACAAGACGACAAAACTCCATTATCACCGGAGCTAGCTTTTTCCGATCTAACATAAACAATTCTCCGACTACGAAGCTGCATATACGTTGACGAAACTCCAGCTTCTACAATTCCTTTAGCTTTTCTACATTTTCTCACCATCTTCGATTTAGGTTACGTGTGCGTGAAGTCAAAATCTCTGAGTGAGAGAGAGAGATATGATTGAGAGGACGAGGAAGAAAAAGAAGAAAGAAGATGAAGAAGATTGATGATGAATTTGGTTTTTTTAACGGTCAGGATTGAGTTTTGTGGTGTGATAGAGAAATGGCGTGTTTAAGTGGTCCCGTTACAGTGACGGGGAATCTTGAACGGGGAAACTGGAGGCGCCGTTATTTGGATTGTGTGGAGTTACTTATACGGACGATTAGATTTAATGACACGTGTCGGTTATAAACGGTGACTTAACGGAACGGGAGGCGTAATAATTGTGGTGTAACTAACTATTTTAAAAACCCTTTCATTTATTGGTAATTCACAGATTTGCCATTACGCGGACCCGAATGTAGATAACTAGAATTTAACCCGCGGTATACCGCGGGGCTATATTTAAAAAAAAAATATAAATGTAATATTATTTTTTTAAAGATTAACTGAAGATATATCATATTAATTTGTATTTTTAAATGTAGATATCTATCTATCAATTTTTTGAAGTATAGATACGAAAACATATTTTTTTTTAAGTAACGATGTACGGTGGATTTTAAAATTTTGAATATTTTACTCTGCAGTATATCGTGGGTCAGTTTTTTTATAACTAAAAATTTAAATTTAAGTTGGATTTGTTTTGTTAATATTGTTTCTTTTGTTTTGTGTTTAAGATTGTATAATTGTATTTTGATTGTTAATTTTAGGATTTCATCCGTGATGTACCGTTTTTTATTAATATCGACCCAAACCCGTCATTCCATATAAACCCGTCTATATTATCTCGTTAGCTAAATTATTAGTGTTATAAAATCCAAGAAAATAAACGATTATTGTTATAAAATCTAATAATTTTAGGATCTCACCCGTGGTGTACCGTTTTTTGAATAATTTTAAATTTATACTACTAATATATATTTTAAATTTATCATATAAAGTATATGATTTCAAGTTTTTGTGTTTTTTTTTTAATTTAAATAAAGCAACGGCTTAAATGATGATAGATATAGTTTTTTTTCCTCTATGTGTATATGATTTTTCTATGTGAATATTTTGATTATTATAAATTAGTATTTTTATTGCTATGCAAAATGATGATAGATATAGTTTTTTTTCCTCTATGTATATATGATTTTTCTATGTGAATATTTTGATTATTATAAATTAGTATTTTTATTGCTATGCAAAATGTTAATATAAATATTTGCTATAAATGTTTTTTGAAGATATATGGAAAGATTGTGTAGAGATTTTTATAAACAAATTAGGCAAGATATTGTTTGGTTAATATCTTTTATTTAAATTTTGTAAAAGTAATAATAAATGCCAATGGCATGGACTCGTAAATACTTAGCAACTCTAGGATTTATTTGCTAAGTGTACTCCAAAAATGTATATATAGATTATTGTTAGTACTATATGTAAGGTTGGAATGGTTACGGCGGACAAATTCGTTTACAGGTTGGAGCTTTTTTTATTTATCATTTATAAACTATAATTACGGACCACTTTTAAGTAGAAATAAATTTGGTTCGCGGCGGGTTGTTGTCTAACTCCAAAAGTAAAGTAGTTTAGCCTGTTAACGGTTTAGTCTGTTTTGCCCATATCATCTATTCAAAACCGTAATGTAAGTATCATTTGTTAAAAGAAAAAACAAGTAGAAGAAAACAAATAAATAAATAAACAGTAATAAGATACCAAGAGTCCATTGGTTGGGGAAAAAAACATAAGCAAAATGTAAATATCAATAATCATAATTGTTCGTGCATATGCATATTTCAAAATTCAACTAATAGCTCGGAATGACATGAACGTTGAAACCCATGACAAAGTGTCAACTTTCATAACGAGAAGAATTTCATCCTACACAATCTTTAAAACATTTTGGACTCATATTATATTATCACTCCACTTGTAGTAAAATAAATTAATGAGTTATAAAGAGCTATTTGAGTTAGTTTCATTACTTTTGTTTTCTATTTTTATTTTATTTTTACCTTTTTACTCTATCTTTTTACTCTTTTTTTCTTACTTTCCACACACACAAACAGATTCATCAGTGAGTGGCACACTAATTTTATATGATGGGAACATGAGGTTATTAGTTTAGAATAAATAGTGAATACCTGAGGTTCTGACATGGATAAATTTAAAATTACAAACATCCATTTGCATTAAATGAAAAGATTAAGCTTTTTGACACTTCAAGTCTTTAATTACTGGCGTGACGTAACGAGCTCGTGTTCGTGTTCGTGTTTCTGTATAAAAATAATCAAAAAATCATATACAGTAGAACCTTTATAAGTTTATAACTTAACTTAATATTGGGATTATGATATTTTATTAATTTATATATTAATTTATAAAAAAAAACTTTTTTAACTGTTAAAATTTTTAAAAGGGATGAATTGAGAAAAATTTGGCGAAATATTTTTTTTAATGCTATATGTTTCGTAGTTTTAGATTTGAAATTTTAATATTTAGAATAAAAAACTTTTGAAAATAAAATAGACAATAAATTACAAAGACTATAGATGAATTCGTAAATTTAAATTTATGATACTAACCTTTATTGACGTATTTTAACAGATCGAAAAGAAAATGATATATATTCAAATATTAAAAACTTACAAAAAAGTTTGACTATTTTTATGAAATAGTTATAGAGTATAATGTACATGGATGTCAAAATGGTTAACCCACTTAACTCAACTCATTACCTGTGTAAAAGTTGGCTTTGATACTAAAATGCTATTATTTGTGTTGGGCTTAATAAGTACTCCCTCCGTATGAGATTAAGTGTCATTTTAGTCAAATTTTTTAGTTTCTAAATACATGTCGTTATGACTTTTTTAAGTAGCTTTTGCTTTATAATACCCAAATTACCCTTAATGAAACACAACTAACTCTAATAAAAGGAAAGCAATTTTGTAATTTGTCATTTTTTTTGAGGATAGAATTGTGATTTTTCATGTTTCCTTAATTTAACTAATTACAGTTAAAACGACATCTAATTAAATACGGAGGGAGTAATATTTTAGTCAAAGTTTATAACAACTAAACTTGGCCTCCATCATTCACTCCCCATGGGCCTAGTCAGCCTTTTACTCTAACAGAAGCATAACCTATATTCTGTTTTGTCTCAAAGCATGCATGGACAAAATAGAGTGCATTCAGATAAGCATGCCTTGCTTTGAGACTGATTGTTCGGACATGATCAAGATGATGATCGCATATGCAGAATGGCCAGTGTTCTCCTCTCATTTGGTAAGATTTCTAATTTCTATAAACTTTTAGAATGTTATGTGTGATAATTTTAGCACTCATCGTGTCCGTAACCTTCAAAAACTATACAGATCCTCCTTCACAGACATCATTGGCTCATTGCCATTGATGCCTCTTCAGCGGACCTCCATTTGGGCTATGTATCACCTCTCTTTCACACCGAATAGTGAAAGGAGAAACCTATGTGATATTTTTTTTTTCCTTTCTCATTCTAGTGTGAATCTAGTTACACAACACATATAATATATGTTCATATTTTTTGTCCAACAAGATTTTATTAAAATTCAAAATAAAGATACCTCAAAAACCACAATGTTATTTCGGATCAATTAGGGAATTAAAATTAGTAATTTTTTAAAAAATTAGACATTGAAAATAATAATATAAATACTTATCAAAATTCTTTTATTACATTTTTAGGAAAAGCTTAATTTTTGTAATTGATTTACTATATATTACAAAGAAAAAAAAAACATTTCTTAAACTAACTAAAAATAAAACTTATACATGCATCTCTTTTTCATAGTTGGAAGAAGCGCAACAATGTCTTGCACAATTTGCAATCGATCACTCCACAGTCAATATTCAAGTGCATAGACCGTGACATCAAAAATATCATCACATCGAGAAGAAAGAAAAGTCAATTTCGCAAGTTAATGATGTTATGGCTGCGATGAATTCTCCCAAAAGTTTTCCCAAATTCTATTGATTTCTTGTTTTTAATCTTTTTTTTCAAGGAGTCAATTGTATAGGTTAAGCAAATCTGTAAAACCTGATTATTTATTTCTAATAATATTTACATGTATAGCAAAACAGAAAAAGAAAGAAAAAAAACTTTAAAAAGTATGAACCATTCGGGATATCCATGGACAGGGGAAGGACAACTAAGTTTAAATCATGAAAGGTCAAGCTATATGAATTAAGAAAAACGAATAAGTACTTAAAATTATTTTTGATATAATTAAAACTTAATCGTTGTAAAGCACACGGACTCTTTAACTAAATATTAATTTAACTCATCAAGTGTTGCGCCCATGTGATGTAAAATTTCATTCCTATATAAATACACCAAATGGTCCAAGAGGTTTCATGCATCAACACAATACATATTCGCCTTATATAATATATAGTAGAATTTTATTTTTCTAATTCTCGTCTAGGTTTTTTGATCAATGGCGAGAGTTAATGTTTACCTTTTTGCATTTATCTTTCTTTTGACTATTACTATGGGTTCCATTGAAGGCCGAACACTCACCAAGTCCACCTTAACGACTTCTGAGGAAATCGGAGCTGATGGCTCTGTGTTGCTGTCACCACCGGCTGAGCCACTTGAGCCGCCGCCGAGCCACGGGGTTGATACCTTCAGGCCCACGGCACCTGGACATAGCCCCGGTATTGGACATTCCGTACACAATTAACGGAGAAGGAAATAGCATGGTTTATGAGACTATATATTAATGTTTTATTTTAAATATTTTGCCCCTTGTTGAAAATAGGATTGGGCTGTGTTATCATTTTTTTTTTTTTTTTTCTGAATATGGATTTTTATATCATCTATATGTATTTACGTACTGTTTCTTCATATTCAGTTTCTTGCAAGTGTGATTCGATCTGTGATTGTAATAATTTTAGTTGATTTAATTAAGATTTATGTAATAATCCATCTTCTTTTAAAAGCAAAATATTTTTATCCTGTCCCTTTTCCCATATTTTTTCTATCGAGATGCATGTGGCATTCGCTTGAACTGAATCAAACATAACTACACGTAACCCTAATCGCAAACCGATCTAGGAATAGAAACAATTTCGATTACTTGTTTATGACTTTATATCTTGAAAATCCGTAAGTAGTAAAAAAACTATCTTTAAAAACCTAGTTTCATTCCATATCTCCGTTTCGAAATTTGAACAAGAACCTAAAAGCTTGTATTACCTAATATTAATCTCAAAGTCACTCAAAAGCTTTAATAGTTTTTTTTGGTAAACAAAGCTTTAATTGTTTGTAAAAAGGTTTAGACGAAAGTGAGTATTTGAGAAATAAGCAATATACTAATTAAGTAAAAGATGGGTGATTAAGAAACAAAAGAGACAAATAAAGAAAGCTGCAAGCTATATTTCCATTAACGGAAAAGTAATCATGTATTTTCCATTAACAAAAAAAATCATGTATTTCTTCTAGCTAAATTATATATTTATAGCTACTACTTAAAAAATAAAGAAAAGAAAAAAATATTTCCAAAATACGAATGTACAATACTTATACAATAACTAATTAAGACAATCAATAACTGAAAGAAAATACACTCATAAATTAACATTTTGAGAAGGCTCGGAAATTCACAAGAGCATAAAATTACATGAAACAGTCTAGTCTCCTTTAATTTATTGTAGAATGCTCAACTTGAGCTTGAAATGATAGGTAAGCTATACATGTAGTATTTCTCTATACATGTGTAAAAGCTAACCGTACAAAAAGAAACCAAATATCATGGGATTTATTAATTGAATGGTGGGTCTCACGTTATATTGGACCAAAAAGCGTTAAGTACAATGATAATTAAACATAAAATAGAAAAATAAAGTTATTCAGATGGTGAGTGAGATTCGAATAGTGTTTGAAAGATTCTCTGTCTAGCAGCTATAAATATTTCGTAGGCTTCAACTACCAGTAGGATTATAAATTTTAGTTAGTAGTACTCCTTTTTTTCGTTCAATATTTTTCAATAGTATAGTAGTACTCTTAACTAAAATATGACACAATATAATTATGTCGCCGGCTAAAACAAAGACATAATTATGCGTATTTCTTTCATTTATATATGAGTTAATTACAAAAAAAGTATCAAAACCGTCGTCCCCTTCGGAAATAGGCACTCCAACTTATGCCTTTCCGAATCCAGTACTTCTCTCTTCTGAAAAGACCATTTCACCCTCCGCTTATGTCGTCATCTACACTGTTTTCGCCCTAATTCTTAGACTTAATTGTTCAGCTTATTTCTTCACTGTTTTCTAATTAATCCAAAGCCCTTAGATCTCTTTTTGTTCCCCAGATTTATAATTATCTTCAGGTAGACGAGGAGTGGAAGTTTTTGGGGTCGATGGCTCCATCTTGGAAGGCAGCAATCGAAGAGGAAGCTTGAAGCCCCTTGTTTTGTGAAGACATCGCATTACGCGAACGCATAAACGCTAAAAGAATTCATAGTGAATTTCTAATATCTTGCCAATCTGGCGAGATTCGACGAAAAATATGAATCTTGCGTGATACAGCGGCGAGAAGAGATTCCAATTGAAGGTAAATAAGCCATTTTTTTACTCTGATTTTGGTTTGGCCATGGAAATGAAGCAGTACATATATGTGTTTCTCCACTTCTCGTTTGCTTCGAATCACCAAATTGGATTTGGTGATTAGTTGGAGATTCCAAACTCCAATTTTGGTAATTAGTCGGTGATTCATGAAATTCCCAACTCGTCTTCCTCACTGGTTTCAGTTTCAACAATACCTTTGTAATTAGTTTTTTCTTCGGCTTTCCACTTTTTCCTCTGTTTGTGTCATTCTTCTCGTAGATCTCGAGAGAGCCTTAAAGTGAGAGAAACTTAAAAATCGATCCTTTTAGTCAAATTTTCTATCTTTTGATTGTTTTATTCCGACCCTTCTAAATTTTGTTCTTAGAAGAAAAAAAGAGAAAAAAGGTTCGATTTTTATCGATGGGTTCTTCGTCAGGACAACCCCAATTTGATTACTTGTTTAAGGCTTTATTGATCGGAGATTCTGGTGTTGGAAAGAGTTCTCTTTTGTTGAGTTTCACATCTTATACCTTTGATGATCTTTCTCCTACAATTGGTGAGTTTAGATAAAATTGATTGAACTTTATTACCGATCTGGTCAGGCCCGGCCCTATGGTAAAGCAGGTGAAGCATTGGCTTTAGGCCACATTATATTTAAACAATTATAAGGCCACATTTAACTAAAATGGTCGTGCACTTAGGTAATAGTCACCAGCCAAGTTCGAAACATATTAGTTAGACAGCTCTTTTTTTTTTGGACAAAGTTAGACAGCTCATTTTCTGTCTTTACATCACTTTACTTTGTTTTATATTACATATGTGGCCCTTATTAATATTTCTTCTACAATAACTTTCTTTTTTCTAACTCCTAACATTCTAAATTTCTTGCTGTCAAAAAAAAAAAAAAAAAAAAAAATCTAAATTTCTTAAATATATTCTTAAAAACCTATAATAATATTACAAAACTTGGAAGAATTCTCCACATCTGTTTATATCAAGATTTTATAATTGTTAGCTAATTAGATATAACTAAAATAATAATTTTTTGAACCATATGAGGTATTAAATAATTTCTCTCATATTTTTAAAAGTATATTTTGTTAAAATATAGGTTTGAACATATTCTCTGAAAAAAAAATTTAGATCTTATTATTTTCAAAAAAATTCATTTTACTTTGTATACAATGTAACTAATATTAAAAATATATAAAAGTTAAATATAAATAAATTTGGTACCTTAAATATTAAGGCCACATTTTTAAAAATGCTTTAGGCCTCTATAAGTTTAGGACCGGCCCTGGATCTGGTCTTTTGTTATTTGATGTTGGATTTGTTTTTTCTAGGTGTTGATTTTAAGGTTAAGTATCTGAAAATTGGGGAGAAGAAACTCAAGCTTGCGATTTGGGATACAAGTGAGAGATTAACACTCTTGTTGTGTGTTGTTGATTGAAATTTATGTAAATGTCCTATCTTGTGGTTTCAATTTAGATGTTTAGGGGAATCAGTTAACAATCCATAGTTAGATATTTGAGTTTGAGAATTTCTTTCTTGAAAAAAGGACCACAATGATGTGGAATATATTATATCTTCTTCGTAATCTATTTCCATGTTGTCTTAGTCACTGTTGCCTAAGCTCTAATGTGACAGTGATGAATAAGAGTCTTGTGTCTAGAATAGTTTAGAGATCAATCCCCTGTATTAAAAATTAAGGATAGTTTACAGGTTAGTCTTGTATTTAGAATAGTGTAGAGATTAGTCTTGTATTTATAATAGTTTAGATATTAGTCTCCTGTATTAAGAATAGTTTAGAGATTAGTATCTTGTTTTAGAATAGTTTAGAGATTAGTCTCTTTGTACTTTTTCAGTTTTTCTGTTATCTCTGATCAATATTTGGGTGTTTCTTGTGGTTTCTATTTAGTTGTTCATGGGAATTATTGAACAATCTAGAGTCAGATTTGAGTTTGAGAATTTTTTCCTTAAGAAAAGGACCACAATATTGCGGAACTTTTGAACTCTTTGTCTGAAGGTTAGGAAATCATATTTGACAATGCACATTTTATCTTGGGTTCATTCGTTTTCCTTCGATTTAGAGTATTGTTTTGAATACCACCGTATCGTTAAATTTGTTTCCCTGGGGTTTAGTCATCCTCCTTGGCTTTAGGGTATAGTTTTGAACACCACCCTCGTTGTTAAATTCGTTTCCCTTGGGTTCATTCATCCTTTTTGGCTTTAGGTTATAGTTCTGAACACCACCGCATCGTTAAATTGGTTTCCCTTGGGTTCATTCAACCATCTTGGCTTTAGGGTATATAGTTTTGAACACGACCGCCCAAAAAATTGAACACATATCATAAGGTTAGATGGACAAAAATATATAAAGATCTCCAACACATGGTCCATGTAATAGTTGTCAACTTAGTTATAACAAGGATTATAAAGATGTTCTGGTTTACAAAGTTCTATAATCCTAGTATACTATGCTGATTTTAATTTTTGTAAGTGAAACAACTGTTGAACTCTCTTAATCGTTCTAAAAGTACATTAATCTCACTTTCGTGGGAGGTGTTTACTTCCTCTGCTTCTTTCTCTTATAATCTACTTGTTTCAGCTAATTTCTAAAGATACGGTCAGATAACATGGGGAGATGGACATGGACAGATCAAGAAGAATGGAGAGCTTCTCACTTTATTTCTCGATACAATCATTATGTATTTCTAAAGATACCAATCATTATGTATTTTATTGATGTGGACAAACAAATGTTATATAAATGTCTTCTGTATGCACAGCTAAAAAATGTTATAATTGGTTTGAAAGAAAGACAAGCATATCATGAATCTCAAAAAATAAATTATATACACGAAATTACTTAGCAGATTTGGGTTTTCCCGCTCATGCACAATATCCACAAAATAGCTTAGTTAAACCTAATCTTTTCATTAATACAAATGACGTCATCGCACACTCCCAGCGGCAAGGGCAAAATGGTCATGAACAGAGTCTTTTACACTTATATTAAACGCCAACTTCATAAAGTGCCTAAATCCGAAGTTCTTAGCCAAATAATGCCTATATTCGTAAGTCTCTCTTTATATATCACCTAACTTAATGAAATGGAGTATAGTTGTCAAAAAAAAAAAAGACAATTCATCTAACTATAGTGACTATGTCTATAGGTTTCCTAACAAAGATCACTATAAGTATTTAGTGATTTTACATTATGTTTTGAGTTCGCATTGACGACATAATGTGAATTATTGCATATATACTGATGAAAGAACATAACTAAAAATCTTGATAAACTAAATGTCATAACTAAAGAACATAACTAGTCAAGACTTGTCACTTGTGTATTG